TTACATGCTGTGAATAATTATCTGATTATTAAATTTAGATGTATTACCAAAATTATTTGTTTAAAGGTCATGGTGCATAGACTGGCCTCTGTCAGCTTATGTTTTACAGTGCTAAATTTCTATAAGATCTCACATGTTATAATATACATACAATTTTAATTATGAGAATATATAATTGCAGACTGGGCCATTGCAGACTGTGAAAATTTGCCAACTTAGTGTTTGTAGTATCAGCAATATTTCACTACCTTGGAGTCTGAAAAGGTAATTACAATATTTTTAAATATCTGAACAAACCATTTTTAGAGTACAATTGTTTCCCAGATAATGTAAAGATTATCAATTTTGACATCAAAAGTGTAATTTAACTAAAGTACTCATAATGGGCAATTTTTTTACATCATTTGCTTACTGTGAAATGATGTTGCTAGAGTATTTTTGAAACTGCATTTGCTTGAGTACAGTGTTTTAACACCCCAGATGAAATATTATAATGGAACACAATTGTATTTTACCATAGAACAGAATTTGTTTCCATTCTTTTTAAATCAATTGTAATTTTTGTCCTTAAAGGTGAACGCAACTACAAGATGTGCCACTAGGAAACATTTGCACAGGACGTTAGCTGACATAATGAGGAAAATTGTGGTTTTGATAATCAGTTTGAAAGAAAGTTTTGGTTTGTGACAGACAACATAATAGTTGAAATCAAGGTGATCAAAGAGAGGCAGTACCTACAAAAGTCATGTACAGATACTTGCACTTAAAAAAAGCTGTGTGTGACACTTGAAGTGAATGTAGGATGTATTCTGTATGTAGACAAAAAGGATATCTTTTATTTGTGAAGAAAAACAAACTGTGATAATTTTCATATCTTAACTTGGATTATTGAAATACAATTAGATGTGATTTTAAGAGAATAATCATATAAACATACATGTATGTTTACTCATAAGCTTATAGAGAAGTTTACTACATGAATATTGAATTAATTATTACATATAAACTATAATTTTAGATGCATATCTTTAATTAAGATAGTCTAAATACAATTGTTTAGCCAGTTATTTAATTATCAATGGTCCAAAGTACATGACAAAATGGTCATCATTAATTAAATTAAATATAATAAAAAAACAACTGTTAATTGAATTTTGCTCTCATTATTCCATGCCAAAATTCCGTGCCATAATCCCGTGCTAAGATTCCGTGCCCAGATTCCGTGCCAGTTTTTGGCACGGACATTTTTCCTGCTCATTTACATATTTCGTGCCAAATTCCGTGCCATTTCCACCCAGAATCCGTGCCAAGAGTTCCGTGCCTGAAATTCCGTTCAAAATTCCGCACGGAATTTTTTCCTGCTCATTTACATATTTCGTGCCAAATTCCGTGCCATTTCCGCCCAGAATCCGCCCGTAAAATGAACCCTTATCATATACTAAAAATTTTAAAGGAATTTTAACTTTCTGGGCGTAATCCGTGCCGAAATTCCGCCCCAATTCCGGGTGTAACATTTCGTACAGGAAGTTATAAAACAAATGCCACAAAAAGAAACATATCATCATGTTCAATATTTAAAATTCGTCAATTTTTAAAAAGTATATTTTACATATTAGCTCCTAGTCATTGTGACATAGTTAATGTCATTATGATTTCACTTGAAACAACGAGGTACTCTATGTGTACAAGTTGGAAATAAACTTTTCTTCTTTTTATAAACTGGTAGTTTTAGTTTGGAAAAAAAGAAACACAAAAAATGCTATAATGATAATAAGTCTATTTTTATCGTGTAAAAAACCTGTACAAAGGAAAAGGGGACCCCCACACAACCCAGCAACAAGAACCAGCGGCAAGGAGCCCAGGAGGACCCCAAAGAAAAGCAGGACAGTTTGCAAGAGAGAGCACAGACAGACTTATCACTAAAATGTTACATAAGAAAAGTTCATACCTTTTCTACAACTCTTAGTTAATCCACTTCCCATATTTAAAAATCAAACTTTCACAGCTTATAATTTAATAAGCTACCACATCAGATGTGAAACACTCATGCAAACAGATCCTGTTACGTTTTTTAGGTTTTTTTGCATAAAGCAAAAATGACCATTTATAAGGAAAATACTATTTGCTGAACTTCTAATTAAATCATCTTTCAAAAGAAGTTTAAAAATAAAAGCAATTATAACTTAGACATGTGGTTAAGAAATTAAAAGTTAACTTTTTTTTAAGATATTAAAATTCCTGATAGATGCTGATTGACAACCTGTGTGTATGTAAATTATGTTTAAATAACTCTTAGTTTTTAGTGAAAAATTTTGCATCTATATTTGTATAACTCGTAGTTAACGAGAAAATTTTGCATCAATATTTGTATCGTCAAGGTACAATAAATATTACAAGGATATATGGTGACATCGTAAAAGTGTGGAAAATCATTTAACTAATCAGTAGTAATTATGGGCAGTCTGCAATAAAATTCATGGTTAGGTACTGTATACTAAAACCTAGTATACTCGAACATACAGGTAGATTTTTGACCCCATGTTTAGCAATGCCCACTAGACTAGCCTGGAGTAGTGTTACAGTTACGATGACATTAATGGTAAACTTTTACGGTTTTATTCCTGTATTAATCATCTAATCAGGTGTAAAATTGTCTTGCAAAATTGCAGTTATATGACCTGGTGTAACAGAACTACATGTACTTGTGCATCTTTGTGACATGATGACAATATTTACTTACCGTATATTCTCTAATTAACACCCCTCCCCTAATAAACCCCTCCAATCACCCTAAAACTTCCCAAACCCCACTCCCTCTTATTTAATAGAGAAAAAGGAAAGTGAGTGATCAAGACAATATAAGTTTAATATCAATCAAAGGAAATTAGCACAAAATTAATTTCAACACAACTTAGGATACTTCCCTTTTAGAATCAAAGCACAGAAGGCGCTGAATTTGTTTGGGTCTCAGAATGTCAGAAAGGTGAAGGTTGTGAGATTATAAAACAATTTGTTTTTATATAGTGCCACCAATGCTTTCCAGTGTTTTAATTGTAGTAGATTGGCTATAAGACTAATTGCAACACTGATATTCAATCCAATGTTTATTTAACTTAAACAATTTGAAAAAAAAATGAGTTGCCGTAATTGGGATTTGAACTCCAGACCTCTCGCTTCCTAAGCGAGCGCGCAAACCCCTCGGCCACGGTGAATGTATATCTGGATGGCCTGAAGAAAACAATATTATTCTATTTAGGGTTTGTAACGACGCTAACTGTTGTTTAACACTTGTGTAAATAATCATGGCGTTTACTATAAGCATGTATATTTATAAAGAATAAAACAATATTAGAAATCTTTGACCATTCGGGAATTATTTTGCTTGAAAATTAATCCGCCTGTCATGTGACCATATTTACGCAGTGATCTGCCCTAAATTTTTCGGCCTAAGTGTTACATATAAAGGGAAGTAACCGCTTCAAAAAAGCGGACTACTTTCGGCACTTGCAATTAACAGCATTAGTGTCTGAAATTTCGCTACCATTATTTGTTTGGTCTGACGACCCAAACAAATAAAAACTACAAAACTTAGTAGAAAAAAACAAAAACATTAAAAAAGGATATATATTTTTTTAATTTTGATGATATTAAACTCTTATTATTATTTTTTATTTTTTGGACTTAAATTCACACCTGACACTCCAGGACACCCCCTTTTGATAAATGTAATGCCACCCAAAGGGGCATTTATTACAGAATATACAGTACCTATTTTTATAGGTAAAGTTCAAAGTGACACCCAACACTGTCCTGAGCTATATGTAGACAACATTGTTTTGTTGTTACCCATATTTAGAAGAATTCTGTGTTGTTAAGAACGGAAACTCATCAGAACATAATATGCAACACATATTTGCCATACTTATATTAACAATGCTGACCAAAAAAAAATCAAAAACAGCTTCTTGAAAGAAAACTTAAAGGCCCATTATGTCTGAGAAATGCCTTTATTTTTTATTCCTAAAAAGATTTTTGATTGGTGAACTTTTATAGTTTCTACAAGGAACCAATTGGGCAATTACCTAAACCATCTTTTTCTTCTGTTGCTTTTTGGCAATTAATACACTTATTGTGGTATAGTATTTTGTATGGAAGTCAAATACTACTTTGTTTACATTTTGCTACTTTTATGACAAATTAATTTACATTTAGCACTACTTTATTCAGGTAAAAAAAAACATTGTAACAACTCTAAAACTATTATTAAAACATTTTGAAATTCATGTCTGCTTGTTTTAAAGAAGTAAAAAAAATTATTTACTTCCGAGGCATAATGTGTTCCTTAGCAACTAAGAAAGATAACTCTTAAAAACTTGCAAAATAAAATGTAAGTAAGTTGTCTTTCTTATTCATGCTAGCATCTATAGGTATAAGAAATGTATTCATAAGACTACAAACTTAGTCTAACTTATTGTAATACTTCTCAAGTGTTTTGAAACTGTTAAGCCTAATTACTAAGTTATTGGTGACACATGAATTTTGACTGAAGTATTAATGTGACCTTGAATTTTGACCCCATCAGTAGGGAGTATCTACTGACAAATAAAAGTATCCCTCCTTAGTTACATAAACAATGTCTTAATGTAAATGCTACAAAGGTCAATACTACCTGGACCATAATTTTTCAGTGAAGATTATTTATCAGTGAAGATTATTTATCAGTGAAGATTATCAGTCAGAACTAACTCCTCAGTACATCTGATGACTCCGAACAAAAGCATTCTCGCCATTTATTAATGACCTTGAACTTTGACCTAAAAATCAATGGATGGACTAACAGTTAATTGACATGATCTTGACCTTTGACCTCAAAATCAATGGATGGATTAACTGACCAATCAACAAGACTGTGCAATGAAATATTTCACAGTTCTTCAGAGTGGCATAATCCTAAAGAACAATATTATAAAATTTATGTATACATAAATGTAAAAATTTACCTCTTAAAATACAAGATGACCTAGATGATCTTCCACTTAAAGTACTGGCTGATACAGTTTGTTTGAAGTTGATGAGACTTGGAGGAAGCTGTTTAGAGGAACTTGAAGAGGTAAACACTATGGATTTCAAGCAAAGCCTAAGGGAGTGTCTAGGAATAGCCATCAATCATACTTTTGTGTCAAAATATATCAGATCTGAAACAGGGAAAATTTTGAAAAGCATAATATAAACACAATGTACCAATATGAAGAATATGCTGAAAAATAGACTTTTCCTATGCTGAATTGGAGTAATGTTCTTGCCAAGCTTTTCATTTGGAACATTCTATTAGTACATGTAGGTAAATCAGTTAGTGGCCTGGCTTACAATATCATTCTGACAGTTTGATGCAGATCAAGTCACTGTGACCTTAAGAGTTACCTGTTGACATGGATGCTAGATGCCATATGGACTGATGTAAGGTAAGGTAAGCTGAACAACTTTACGACAGCCAACAGCATGGAGACTGGTCAAATAAGGATGAATGTACAGCCACAGTAACAGGCTGGCCTCACACTATATAACAAGAGCACCGCTAGGCAGAGCATTATATGCCCGAAAGTGATTTTTTTTTTTTAGTAAAGATTAAGCATTTGTAAGACATGGGAATTAAATAAAGTATTAACTTCTTCAAATAACAATCCTCCTTTAAAGTTTCAATATTGCGGTTCAAATGGAACTTAAGTTATGCCCCAGAAACTGTTTTAAATTCTAAGTTAATAGTGACCTTGACCTTGTGACCCCAAATTCAATAGGGGTCTTCTACCCAAAATGGACAATCATCCTATGAAGTTTGAATATTGTGGGCTACATTGAACTTAAGTTATGCTCCAGAAACTGTTTTCAATTTCTAAGTGATAGTGACCTTGACCTTTGACCTTGTGACCCCAAAATCAGTAGGGGTCTTCTACCCAATATGGACAAGTATCCTATGAAGTTTGAATACTGTGGGCCAAATAGAACTTAAGTTATGCTCCGGAAACTGTTTTTAGTTTTAAGTTAATAGTGGCCTTGACCTTTGACCTTGTGACACCAAAATATTCTACCCAATATGGACAATCATCCTATGAAGTTTGAATATTGTGGGCCAAATGGAACTTAAGATATGCTCCGGAAACCAAATTGCTAACGGACGGACAGACGGACGGACAGACGCCAGGGGGTATAACATAATATGTCCGAAATTCTTTCAGGCATAATATAACTAGTGGCAAGGTAACATCTATAATTATCTCTACTCGTACATAAATGGTTAACCCCTAACCTGATGGGTTTACTCTACTTTGAAGTCCACCCGTTCAATTAGACAGAGCATCAAATAAATAATCCAGGGGTTGATGCTTTGATACTCCTTTCTCTGTGACATTTTTTTTCTTAGGACAATGAGTCTAATGATCATTTGCCTTTCACCACTGATTCAAAAATAATGTTGGATAAGTAATCCAGGGGTCACCTGTTCGATCGTGGTGTAATTTCTCCATGACAACAGATCTTGGACAATGAGTCTAGTAGTCATTTGTCACTAAGAAATCATCAGGGATAAGTCACTTGCAGAGAAGTTGGTGATTACTGGTTAGTTAACTTAACCAAAGAAGTCGGTTTGATGGATCTACTGCCGAGATATGACCAAAAATGTGTTATAATCGGCCTAAAAACTTTGAGGTGTGGGGTTTTGACATGTTGGGTTTTGTCCTATATTTCAGAAACAGATGTTAGAGATTAAAGGCCCATTATACCTCAGAAATGCTATCAATTCTATTTCACAATTTTTTTTAAATTTGCTATCTTATTACAGTTTCTGAGAAGTAAAAAACTGGTTTGCCATATCTTTTTTTTTTTGTTCTCTTGGCAAATGGTATAATAATAGTGAATAAGTATTTTGTATGGAAGTCAAAATTCTACTTTGTTTACATTTTGCTATATTTTGTGACACATTACTGCATATCCATACCTAGTTTCATCTTAAATGCTCTAAATCCATTATTTAAGCATTATTAAACAAATGTTTGACATTTCTAAAGAATTATAAAAATATAAAAAAAAAATCCTGAGTTTAACTTAACATCCTGTTGGTTTATGCCATATCATTTAATTTCTATAGATATTTTTCAAGGGTATCAAAATCTAAATTTTATTCTTAAATCAAATGATACAAGGCAGTCTGAAGGACAGCTAAATCCCCTTCCGCAGTGAACATGAATGTGTACTTCTTGAACTTTTGCCAACCATGGCCTTGATGTTGTGCCATGCATATCATAAGCTGATAGTCTCACTAAGGTGATTCTTTGTGCCAAGTTATTTAAAATCTTCCACAAAGTCAAAAAGTAACCTATAACTTTGACCTTGGGGGTAGCAATCTGGATGTTGAGCTCTGCCGGTTGTGTCATGGTTGGGATCATATGGGCCTAGTAATTTTTAAACTTTTGAATTGTGAAGAAGTTATAGAGCGGACATGAAAAATAGATGTTTTTACATAGGACCTTTGTGTGTGACCCTGACCTTCAAGGTTGTGACTTGATTATTGTGCTCTGCCAATCATGTCCTAATGGTGATCATTTCTGCCAAGTTATCTTAAAAACATTGCAGCAGTTTAAATGTTATGGACAGATGCAAAATATAGATTTTAACATTTGACCTGCAAGTGTGACCTTGACCTTGGGGGGGGGGGGGTAGCAATTCAATTATTGTGCTCTGCATATCGTCTCATAATGGTGATCACTTGTGCCAAGTTATTTAAAAAACTTTTCAGTGGTTAAAAGTTATGGAGCGGACATGAAATGTAGACTTTTAACACTTGACATTTAAGTGTGACCTTAACCTTGGGGGTAGCAACCAAATTATTTCCCTCTGCACATAGTCACATAACGGTGAACACTTTTGTCAAGTTAATCAAAAAATTTTTAGCGGTTTTAAAAGTTATTTAGTGGACATGTAGACCTTTTAACACTCGACTTTAAGTGTGACCTTGACATTAGGGGTAGCAACCCAATTAGTGCGCTCTACACAATGTCTCATAATGGTGATCACTAAGTCTTGTGCCAAGAATTCAAAAAAATTTCAAAGGTTTAAAAGTTATGGAGGGGATACAAAATGTAGACTTTTATACATTTGACCTTTAAGTGTGACCTTGACCTTGGGGGTAGCAACCGAATTATTGCGCTCTGGTTCTCGTAATGGTGATCAATTGTTCCAAGTTATTTAAAAAAAAATTCAGCAGTTAAAAAGTTATGGAGCGGACACAAAATATAGCCTTTTTTTTTTAGATTTTTAACATTTGACTTTTAAGTGTGACCTTGACCTTGGGGGGAAGCAACCCAATTTTTGCGCTCTGCACATTGGCTCATTCTGGTGATTACTTGTGCATAGTTATTTTAAAACAATTTCAGTGGTTTAAAAGTTATTGAGCGGACATGAAATATAGACTTTTTATTACGAAATGAAGACTTTTTAACATTTGACCTTTAAGTGTGACCTTGACCTTGGGGGGTAACAACCCAATTATTGCGCTCTGCACATGTTCTTATAATGGTGATCAATTGCTCAAAGTTATTTCAAAAAATTTTCAGCAGTTTAAAAAGTTACGGAGCAGACACGAAAAGTGTTACGGACGTTCTTACAAAATGGTACTTTTCCTTTGATCTTTTCAGCCATTTTAGTCACACAAGGCCTAAAAAAAGACACACAAGTAAAAAGGGAATGAATAGGATCAAAGGAAATGTACCGTTACGCATTGTTCTCCAAGTCACACTAGTACCTCTAGGTTTGTACGGACGGACAGACGGACAGACAGACGTTCCAATTAAATTGACTAAGGGGCCATTTCTTTTGTTAATTTCTTTTGTTTAATAGAGGGCCATGGCCCTTATTCTCTTGTTACAGAATGAACTCTATTGTTCTCTTTTGTTCCGTTTAAAGTTACATGGCCCCCTACTTCTCTTCAATAGCACAGACAGACAGCAGACCGACAGAGGCCATTCCTATAATCCCTTTTCCACTATGCGGAAGGGGATTTAAAATTAAAACAAGTTGTTATTGCTATAACAATTTAATGTAAAAAATCAGTGTCAGCATATTAAGTTTTGAAATTGTACAAAATTAGTGTATACAAAATCAAATTGTACATGGCAGCATCTAAAGCATACCAGTATTTTAAATATTTTATCAATTAAAATACATGTATGTTATAACTTTCACATAAACTGTTGCATGTAACCTACCAAAACCAATACTTTATATTAAATTTATCAATAATTGCATAAAAATATCCTCTTACTATATAAACCTTATACATGTATAACTTAATGTATTTAATATAATTAGAGGGCCTCTTAGTTTCGTCAAAACACATGCATCTACATTTTCCAAGTATGGTTAATAATATAATTGTAAAAAAAAAAAAAAAGATGAATTTTATACAAATACGAGTAGGTGAGCTTTCTCATTTCTGGTTTTACAAAAGCCAAGGTTATTTTTACAATACATCTTTTTTAAAGTATAACAAATTACAGCTCAAGTTTTCACTGTATTATCACCATATTCTAGATCATATACCATCCTGTTTAACAGGTTTCTCTGGTCTTCTACATTGCCACTATCTAATAAGTCAGCATACTTCTCCAAACTATTCCTGACCTCTAACAGATCATGTCCGAGCACATATGGGTTATTTATTATTTCACTCTTGTCTATTCCTCTATCCAACAAATAAATAAGCACCTCTATTGAATCTGTTTGATTTATGTTGTTTATAAAATCCATCTTGAGATTATTACTGTCACCTTTATACGGATAATCCAAAAGTTTGAGAACTTTGTTAACATGAGCCCTATCTCTATGTCTTGTTTTGGGATAGATCTTCGTCTTTAACAGTTTTATCGTCACTTCATTGACTGTGGCTTTCATTTCGTCAACTGTTCTGCCCATGATAGGCAGGGATGCCAGTAAAATTTCCAAATTGAAAGCGATGTCGTTCGAAGAAATACCTTCAGAAAGCAAAAAGTCTACTTTCTCTTTCAGCATAATTGTTCTATTTCCCCTGCTTAACAGTTTCAATGCTTGTTGACCTGTAAGTTTTAACAGAAGCTCATGTTCAACATCAAGAAGTTTTGCCAAAAACTGTACATCATCTATTTTTTTATAACCTTTAAGACTGTCCACCAAATACAGTCTCAACAGGGCGTACCAGTCTTTCTTCATTCTCTTTTCTGGAAACAGGCCATTCAAAATCTCTGGTGAAACTTGCAAAAACACGCCTTTTGATGACTTTAGTAACGAAAATACCTTCGACCTCTTAATGCCTTTAACAAGCAGAATACTGGAATTAAGCTTTGCCGTCCTTAGAGGTTCTAAACTTCGTAACCTCGGACATTTAGCAACTAAGTCCATCATACTTTCTTGTGAACATTTCAACATAGTTTTGAGTTCTGCCATTTCTTCCATCCAGTCTGATTCATGTTGTGTAAAATCTTCAAGTTTAACATTTCCTCCAACGGATTTATCGTTACAAATGTCCTGGACAAGATCACCATCAAAGCTAGTAGACGTAAATGATAACTGTATAGCATGGTAAGGCAATGAAAATCTTTGAAGATAACCTTTTAACATCAGCCCATTTCGATTTTGTGACAGCTGTAATAATGGACATGTATTTCTTCTAGACATGCCGTGTAATGTGTAATTATTACCATGTTTATATGTTCTTGCAACACACTTCTTATAAATTTTCGTGCTAAAAAAGTTTACACAAAACCAAACAGGTTCACAGTGCACTGGTTTATACCAGATATGTTTATTTGAAAGTAGATGCTTCCAATATCCGTGCATTGTAGGCAACAACAAAGTCTTCCGTCTGCTCAATCCTGAAAATACAAGTACAGCTGACTTTAGGTTGATCATCTGTCTAACAGCTTTAGTGTTTCTGACACTTTCCTTCAATTCACTAAATCTTATAATAGAGTAACAGGTTTTTTAAATATTTCAAGGCTTCACAATGTTATAATAATGTTAAATCATTAATAAATCACTTCTGACTAGAAAAAACTATGTAATGTATTACAATCCTCCAGTAATCTTATTTGATGTTACAAAGGAAAGTTATAAATCAAATTCTTTTTTTTTCTGTTCACATTTAAAGCACACTTTAAAATTCAGAAAGCAAACATACAATTTGTTATGGCACCATGCAGTTAATTCAAATGTCATGAATTTAATAATAACTATATTTTTTTTAGTTTTTGTTATTGTTTTTTCCTTGTATTGAGAATTATCTCCTTGGCATTGGGGAAAAATTTTTTGGATTGGAAACATGGCCCGCATTGGTTTATAATATCAAAATGGATGAAAAAAGTCACAACTGACATAGCCAGACTATACAATAAGATTATGATGGAATTTCATGGCACTGTCAAGGTGACCAAGGCATTTCTTTCATGCATCTAATTCAACTGCATTCCTAAAGAGTACTGTTTAAGTTGGTAATTGTCAGCACAAAGCATTCACATACACTTCATTCTCAGCATTCACTCAGCAGTAATACTGGAATTTGACAGCACTTTTATGGCACCATATGGGTGGTAAAAATGCAATGACAATAGCCATTTCAGAAAAAGCCTTTTGATTGTGTATAAGAGCAAAATATATCAAGAGCATTCGCATTAAGACTTATGTGCAGTTGAGGCCCCCTTACAGCCATCAAATTGCACTCTTATCCTGATTTGAGTATTGATTGGCATTCCACATATTCACATGGCAATGCTGCAGCAATGTTTGCAATCAAACTGCACTATTCTAAAACTATTCTGAAAAATTCTTAGATCCCGTAAAAATGCCCTGTTTAATATGAAGATTGGTCACTCAAATTGTAAACATCATGATAATTTTATATCATCATCATTATTATTACTATTATTTACTTGTATAGAAATAATGTAAATAAATGAGTTCAGTGATAATTAACATGGATGTCAATTTAAAACTGTTGAGAATTAGTTAGTTGTGTGTTGCCCTAGGGTACAGCAGTCCTTAATATTTCTATAACTTTAATCATAATAACGAAAAGGACTTACTTTAACTGCTTTTGCTACTGGTACTCAAATGTTGTATCTTTAATACACATGTCCATAAAAGTACATTGAAGTCAATTATAACATTTATGTCGTTATGTCGAGCTGCTATGTTTACAGGTAATATTAAAATACAAATTAACACATGGTTGGAATACTGATACCAGCAAGGATATGGCACCAGTTAGGATATACTATGTCAGCACATTTTAACTAGCCAAAGCTAGATTCTGAGATAATTTTTAGTTCTAGATCAGAATCTCACTTCTAGAGACAGAAGTAGAGGGGATCAATATTGCTCATACACAAAATAGCCCAATATCTGATTTGCAATGCATTGGACTACAGAGTACAGTTAGGTGAACTAAAATCAATACTAAAAGTTAAAGGACTCATAAGATGCTTCATGAAAACAAAACATGCATGAACAAAACCAAGCAAGAACACAGCTTGCAGCATACTCTAGATATTTTCTAACTTCATATACATGTTTATCACATAAACCATGGCGCAGGAGTGTAATAAAGCCATTTAGTAAAAACGATATTACACTAGTGTAATAACATTTTGAAGGACGTCATTTGCGCTATATAGAAACTTAGCGTTAAAGCGCACTAATGTTAGCGTTACACTATGGGCGCGTTATTATAAACATACTTATTTTAACAGTTTACTGTTCTTATTTTATATATGAGATAAATAGAATATTATATTCATGTAGATTCAATACTAAATTTATTGAACTCGTTGAATGCAACAATATTATGCTCGCCAGAGGCTCGCATAATATGATTTAATTCAACTTGAACTTGTTTAATAAATTTAGTATTAAACTACACTCATTCAATATCCTCTACATACCTAGTTTATGCTTGAATTTTGAAAACAAAAAGAGGAACATTTCAGAAAAAATTTTCTCATATTTTTGTAAGTTATTAGGACACATTTTGTTGCAATATCCTTTGACAAATTAGGATGAAAATATTAAATATTGCACAAACCTATATTTTCAGCCAGACACAAAATCATGTTCTTAAATTGACAGTTAATCTGCTGGTAACCCGACAGAAAATTGGGTCGCGAAAACTTATGACATTCACACTTCTTGTCAATATTTCACTATATCTCGACTGACATTATTAAATTATAAAACAGATGAGTATAAAATGGTTGCTCTACTCACTTTGGCTAGTCTACCACTACCAGTATCACTTTAACAGTCTCAAAGATTTGTTTTGTTGACAAACGAATTTCGTTCTTAGGCCATAGACCACTAAATTAATGTATGGTGAGTTTCACAGGTTTCACACTGCGACAAGTTTGCTTTTCATTTCAAAGAGCATAATGGGTTATACATGGGTTATAATTTGCATAACTGGGATACAGATGGATAAATAAAATTTAAATTAAAATATAAATGCAGCCGTGATGTGATACACAATAATCTGATAGTTCAGATATTAAATTAATCTTTTCATTCAAAGGAATTATACAAATGTATGGAACTTCATTATGCCAACTTCAATCAACTTTACCAAAACCAGGTTGTTTTCAATTAGTTTCATCATACGAGGCTATAAAATCGAAAAGGTTTATAGCAAACAAACCATAAAAAAGTAAATTGAAGAAATAAATCACAAAAGCCATTAGCTAAAGCATAGATATAAATGTAAATACATACAGACATTTCTTACAGTGTTCATCATGTTAAAAATACTTAATAATCTGAGATAACATTAAATTGTTTTCCATCTGTTTTGATTTAATAAATATTCAAATGTTTTATCAATGACATAGCATTGTTAAAAGGGTAAATTCTGTTCAAAGTAAGAGCAATTTACCTTACTATATGCCAAGTGATATGCCTTCAGTAAAAATAAATTTTTTGCACAAGTGAAGATCAGCCAGTTTTTAAGATATAAATTCTTTTATACTTAGGTGTGCAAGGTTAAGGTGGAACCTGCACGGCTGTATATGTCATAAACATCTGAGCTCTACAGTAAAATAGAGAAAATAAGAATCCCTAAAGAACGCCCTATGCGGCAAAATTGAAAATGTTGCAGGCTCGGTTTGACTAAACCTGTTCATGGACGGTACTGTCAAGTGCAAACTACCGTCCACACCCCTTAGCACCAGCTTAAGCAGAATTCAACATTTACATGCAAACTTTTGAATTTAGAAACATCTGCAGATGTGTTCATACGGAGGTCATCATGGAACCTTCAATGTGAGTTAGTAGTGTCATTCCATGAAAAGCAGCATGTGGTCCCAAGTAATAAAAAGTGTGTGCCCTAAATGAAAAATAACAAGTTTCCTTCCCATTCAAATCAATGGAGCAAATGTGAACCCAGGACAGGGCAGGGACTATTTTGGAAGATGCAAATATTTACCTTGATTGAAAATGATCAAAGATTTGGTTAAAGCGGTGATCCCTCAAAAGCAATGAAAGCATTATATGAAAATTGCAGACTTGGATACATGTATATTTCTTACACTTTAAATATATTTTCATTGAGTTTTAATTCTTCTAAACTTTGTTTATTTACACTGAAGAGAACATTTGGCCAGAACTAAGCAAATTGAATTAAACAAAACATGTAGATTTGAGATTTGTGATGCAACATAACACTTAACACATAAATAATTTTAATCTCTTTAATCACACAATAAATACAAAGCATCATTTTGATCCTCATTACACAATCAAAAGCACAATTAAACCAATTTAAACATGTATGTATACCATGTTCAATTTTAATGGTCATTTTTTTTTTCAAGGTAAAATACATAAACTTTGTTTAAAAGTTTCCACTGCATACTTATCTATGATTTTTATTTGCTTTCACAAAATCTGAATCAATGTGGTACAAATGACATGCAATAAAATCCTGTCAACATGATAAATTAATATTCTTTACAAGTCCATCTAAAAAATTTACATATTTGTGTAAAAACTATTGTTGGTGAGCCGCTGTTTTAGAAATACTGGAGGAACTAGCCTATCCTTTATGTTCTCCTCTCACCATTCAGGTAAGGCTTATCACTTACTATTCAGGTCAAGGATTAAAGCCTTAAAAAAAGTCGCAAAATGGTTCTTTATAATATGATGGCATTTAGGTTGTTTTTTCCTAATACAAACAAAACCTGCAGATATTTGATAATATTGAATAAATAAATATGTAATGCCATCAAAACTTAAAGGCACATTATGCACCAGAAAAGCTTTAAAATATTTTTTTCTTTGGTGTACTTTTATAGATTTCAAAAGTTATTCATTTTTCAAAAACCTAAACCGTCTCTTTCATCTGTTGCTATTTTGGCAATTACTACAGTTATAGTGATTCAGTATTTAGTATGGATGTCAAAATACTACTTTGTTTAAATTTCGCGATTTTCATGACAAATATTTAGGGCTACTCCTTTCAGGTAACAGCATCTAAAATGCTCTCAATTTTTAATTAAAAGGTTATAAAACTCATTCTTACAATTTCTAAGGAAGTAGAATTTTTTTCATATCTGAGGTATAATGTGCCTTTAATAGAGTCCATTTACAATTTGAATAAACCCATATACAAATGTATTATTATTTTGCTGAAGGAGACAACTGTTATTCATTTTTGGTCTTAACTGGTGACAACACTTTTGATCTTAATTTTTATTTTCGATGTTACGATTTCTTCCCAGCTGAAGGCACTACCAAACTATCCAGTTCTCTTTTATGACCCGATTCTGACAACCATGCGTGAAATCTACTTTCTACAAGTCCTTGGAACTCTTTGCGCTGCTCGCGCGCAAGTCCCGCCTCTTTCATTTTTTTCTGCCAAAGGTTTATCTGATGGTGACGATGACTGACAGCGCGTTGATACTTGCTTGGCAATCCGCCAGGAATTTCCTTCGTAGGACCTTCTAATTCGAATGGTACAACAAATGTAGAGAAATCATTGACAGGTATAAGTTCCCAGACTGGTGTTTCTTCTCGATGATCGGGTCCTATACATAATGGCTGGTCCCACATATTTTTATCGGCCCCTAACAAAGAAAAACTATGAAATTGTACATGATATACATATAACTCTTAATAATAAATTACAATGAATTTCAGTGTCCTGATCCTGGTACTGAAAAAAAACCAATAAAAATATGTAATTTGTAATTTTAAAAATATAAAGAAAGCAAATACATAGTTTTTTTTACATGAAGTGTAATTTAATAAAGATTGTAAGGATAAGTTTTTGCTTGACCTCTTGTAAGCTGGATATTTTGGTTTAAAGTCTATAAATTCATTCTCTTACATATTTTTCATAAATGTTTAAAGTTTTATTTTATATTTATTACTTCTTTTACAATTTAAAATGTATAAATAAACATTTCAAAATTCTAAGAGATAAGCAAAAGGGGCCTCCAGCTTCCTTATGAATTGAATAACCCTCACTTCTATAGGCTTAAAACCTGCAAGGGAATCTGAGTCATTCATGCAAAGGAGCTAGCAAGCTGGCTAAAAAAAGACTGTTGCCACAACTTAGATGCCCACTTGAAATTGAAATAATGCCCCTTAAATAGACTTCTTATATCAGGAATGTGTCACCATATGATGTTTTGTAGTGAAGGTCAAACTTAAAAAGTTTGGGCTATATTAATCTTAAGGGTTATTCCTTACCCAAGCCAACATCTGACATATGTTCTTCTAGTTTTGGGTAGAATGTATGATATGGTGCAACCTGGATGGAGTCGTTGCCACTGAGAATAACTGGGGGATTTGGGGTCAAAAGGTGCAGCGTGCATAGAGTACATGAACTGAAATATAAACAAGTGAAAAGGGATTAAAAAAATTCTTATATTCTTAAATTTCTTTAAGGGTTAAAATATATTAAATTTCTTTAAGGGTTGAAATAATATAAATATGCCACACAACAACACCATTATGTTTGAGTTTTGTTAACCAGTTTCACAAAAGCTCCTTCAGAATAATAACAACAAAATAGACGTTATGTCACATGAAAATGTCACATCCTCTGGAAGCACACTAAAAGGTAACATTCATAAAATACTATAGTAAACAAATTCAATGTTCATAAGACATGTCAATTTAATGGCTATTAATTTCCTGTAGTTATAATTATGGTTTAATTGGTGCAGTAAGACCTAAGATGCTCCTTTGTGCATTAGGGCATCTGAGTAGAACCACTGGCCTTCTTTAAGTTAGCTAGATAACAGAAGTTTGTTAACCTGCAAATTTGCTTGAACAGAAATGACTGTAAATTGTCTAAAAAGACTAAAGATCTGATGAAATATATCATTACAAGCACATTTCATAACACATTAAGCTAGTAATTGTCCAACATCATCTCTTACCCTGCAGAAACCGAATGCATTTAGCCTTTGAAATTGGTTTTAGAGCCAGGCCATCCTGCACTAAGATGCAATCTGACCAGGCTCTATATTGTAGGCTGACTGAAGGACTTCTATAGGACTCTATGCTGTTAGTAGCAGATGTATTTTCTAATTTGATAATGAAATCACTTGTACTCTGAATGGACTATTCCTAAAATCTATTATAACAATTCAGCAAGTTTATGGGTTTGGAAATTCTTCATTTTTGACACAAGAATAAAGCAAAATGTTTACTTAAGTCAATTTACAATGAATATTGATCGTATCAGTACTATGTAAGACAGAAACTACAGCTATATACCATACCTGATTGAGACAACTCTGGCACATGCAATGAGAGTAACACCTTCACAATGACTCATATATACATGTGTTTCTACAGGACCAAGTATAATAATGGTGTTCCTACATTTCTCTATTGTAACTGACCTGTAAAACATTAAAACAAAATATAATTTTAACCCCTTTATCAAAAATTTGGACCAATTCATCTATTCTAGTCAATTTTGCAATTCTAAGATTTTATTCTGAACAAAAAGCACAAATATACAAAAAACAATAATATTAATCCCACTGCAACAACTTCTGATTTCTATAATTTATGGGTTTTTAGGGTCAAAAGAGAACTTGGCAGCTTTACTGATACAGAAATACATGACCTAAAGAAAGCAGAGTTGTACTATTCCTAAATGTGTAATTTTGTTTGATTTGTTCGGTTTTGCAGCACGCCAACACAATTTAGGTCATATGACACCGAAACAGGAAAGATTACTTTGGCTAACCTCGGGTGAGACAATCTTACAGCAACAATAGGGATCAAAACCACCTCAACTGCTGGAGCTAAAAGATTCATTGACTCCAGTAATTCGAACCCTTTTTCACCTCTTACAATCACACAGGGATAAACAGTAACTGCAATTCTCAACCCTTAAAGGCAACCTATCAGCAACAAGGGGGACCCCCCCCTTAATGTAAGATACAAAGAAAAAGAAATACCTTAGAGGAGATAGCAGATAGAGATATGCAGAATGACATCTATGTATCTTTACACTGCTGTGCTCTAGGGTGCTTGAACTCTGAAAATATATATATTTATCAATTTTAATTACCTGGAAAAAATATGAGCAAATACTGCAGATTTTATTATTTTTTTCATTCTAGCAAATGTAAAAATATCATCTAATTTCAAACAGTGCATTTTTCTATAAAAATGTTGTAAAAATTTATATCTATTTCTTAATTTATACATATAATTCAGAATGGATTTTTTCCTTCCCATCAACAAACAGTGTCAGTCTTAAAATTTGGGCCAACTAGAAAATTTAAACAACCAAAGGAAAAAAAAAGAATATTGTTTTTTTAAGTTTTCTCTTGCAAATTCATTATTATTTTTTTGTCTAACTTACCCTGGCAATTGTTTGTTTTCCGACTTGGCTCATTATAATGATCTTGTTTCTGTAAATAAACATAGTAAAATGTAATACATTGTATTTAAATGTTTCCTGAACAAATAATTCAAGTTTACAGGTCCATGGCATGTGTTTAAAAAACAAATTCATAAATTAGTATTCCATGCCTTAACTATAACTAAAATAAAATTACTATACATAGCTATTAAGTATTTTGTAAGGGAACATTTTCATTCCTTTTTTTCTACCATAATTTATTTCTGCTCTATAACAGACACATTTCTTTTTACTACCTACATGTATATACATCTTCTAACTATCTACATGTATAAACATGAAAGTTTAAATGACCATAAGAAAAAAACAATCTGATTGTACTACTGGTATATCACTCTTATAGTAAAATACTTACTATTTTAGCTTCTTTACACATGTCCTTTTTTGACAGTAAAATATTTGATTATTATAGGTTCAAGCCTTCATCTTACTACAACAAACAAACAAACAAAACATATATTGACAAATTGTTCTCACCCTTTCATATGTTCTTTAGGTACAGCGTGAGCATTGGTTGCAATTCTTCCTCTCTTAGCTTGTGCTTCTTTGGCCTCTTTGTTATCTTCCCCTGTCAAAATGTCAAATTTTATATCATATTGTCATTTTTAAATTTAGGATTAATAACCCTTGGCCTTATGGGTTTAAACATAATTTATTTTAGTTGTAAGTTTATCAAACACACACTCAAATCTGTTCCTGGAACCAACAAATAAGTGTTAGTTGCCTAGCTCAAGGAAACAACGAGTTGCTCTTGACAGGGCTTGAATCCACGCAGCTAGCACTCTGAAATGAGTCTATATTAACTGATTCATAAGAGTTTACTAAAGCATTGACAACAATTATGCCAATATCACCAATCTAAAACTTGGTGAGTAATGGACTTGTCATGTTTTAAATTTGAAATTTTTCTTACTCAATTTCAGGAATTTCAAGACTGAAGTACACATTTCTTATTTTCACTGCAATAAAGATAAATTATTGCCAAATTGAGTGCATTCTGGTCCTGATTTGTACTGGTGAGACACTGTGACAAAGGGTTGAGATTGCCAACTTTAAATCACCTGCTGTACTTCAAAAATCCGCAAGGACTTTCAATGATCAAATTTAATAAGAAAATCTAAGGGAAAATCAAAAATATTTCTGGTTTTCATCTATGGACAGGTTAAAAAAAAATTTTCATACATGGCCTAACCTGACTTCTTCCACCTTTGCTGAATAAATTATAAAATATGATACTTACAAAGGCACTAAGTTTCCAGAATTTTTTACAAACATAAAATGAAATAAAAATTTAGTGTTGAACGACCTACCTCCCATAGGCCATGAGAGTCTCCGCCCACTTGCTATACAGGCTGATATACCAAATGGATTTTGAACGAGAGAATCTTTGATCCAATTTTGCAGTAATCTCAGAGAAAAACTCTTCATTAACTGTAATAAAGTCATCAGTTTACAATTTTTTTACAATATTGACATTATCTTAATTAACAACTTGGATCAAAAATTGAATATAAGTTTCATTTTATAGACTTCAATATGTTAAGGGTCAGCGCCTGCTTTTAACACTATTTCTACTTTGGAGATATACATACAATTAGGAGGCAGTTCCTGAATAGCACATGCTCAAAAACCATTTTTATCTCTTAAAGATCCTGTAACACAATTTTCTTATGGTTTTAAATCATAAATATGATGCTCAAATTAAGATTTATCAATATTGTAGGTTTCAAAAAGCATTATTTATAAAGATGTTACCGAATTTAACATTTCATGTTAATAAAGGAAGGTAATAAAAATTCATTTTCCATAAAGTTTAAGTAAAATTTTACAATAAGAAAAGAATGCATATATTTTAATGATTACATAATTATTATATGCACAAATATTTGCAGTATATATTTTACATATTCTTTGATGTTTGAAAATTGTTTTATTTGCATAATTATGTACATGTATATATTATAATTTCACTTAGTGTGGTATACCACCTTGATCACAACATACAGGATCTTTAAATAAACTAGACATGCTGGCAAGATTTGGGTAACAGAGAATAAGTAAAACTGTTTGTTAATGCATGCAGAAGAAGACATTTGGGTAGACCTAGTACACATACATTTTATGTATTGTTAAACATATCCTTATATATATCATATATCAATAATCAAATAATGAAACCTTAGAATATCCACTTCTGTGCTGTAATGTTTGAAGCATGGCAATATCTTGTATAGGCAGAAGTGTCCTGAAATAAATAAAATACTTGTACTAAACATCAATCTATTTATGCATAATACCATTCTACTCTTAGTTCTTACTGTTTGAAAACTGTTGGAAAAGTGCCCCAAATTCTGGTCTAACATTTTTTTTTAGAAACAAGCAAGCACCTAGAGTAAACAGCCTTGTTTAGCCAGCTCAACACTATTTCTTTACCATCCATAATTAAGGATCTGAGGTTCATTTTTAAGTTCTGATTTACTGCCAATCATTTCTAAATGCTATTTTACTTTAAGGAGAAAAAGCAGGTAGGAAAATTCACTGATTACTAGTCTGACGTATAACCCCTCGGCCACACTGCCAATCAGCAATCCTGGGCAGTTGATTGGCAGAACATGTGTTTCAATTATACTTATACAAATTATCTTGCTCTAAATTTCGCTTCTAAACATTAATTAAACCTACAATTTAGACTAACTTCTGGAAGAAAATAAACTTACTTGCATCTATCTACAGAGCCCGCTATAATAAATCCTAGAGCTTCCACGGCTGATACTGTAAGACTTAAATCCCCTTGATTAGAACCATAGCTATCTGAAATAACATTAACAATAGAGGTTAATTTTTACCGAATGTCATCATTATTTGCCAGAGATATTGTATTACAATCCTTTTTGCTTTTAAAACATTGAAGAATTCCTTCATGAATTCAATACTGACAGTGAATTCGTAGACTTCCAAAAAGTAAAAAATGTAAATAATGTGATGCAAAGTAATCTTATAGCAGATGAAATTTTGTTCTTAAATTCATGGATTTATCTTTGCAAGAAAACCACAACAAATAGTGCCCTACGAATAATAACAATTTTGCAATAATAAATATTGAAAAAACTATTCTATTTTATTTTTTTTTGGTTTCTGGGTTTAAAGTCACATTGATGCTGTTACTGACATATGGCAATTTTCTGGCTTTTATGGTAGAGGAAAATCTCAGGTGCCCCTCCATGGAAAACCAACACCTGTGTAGAACCTCTGGCCCTCCATAAGATAAATGGACAACTTCCTCACATGAAATAATCAAAAGTCATTGATGGACAAGTGTTTCAGTAACCTTAACAAAAACGCCACATAGGACCCTACTCTGTTTTTAACCTTTGAAAAATATCAACAATAAAACTTGACAAGTACCTATGCCACTAGTTTAGACCCTAAGCATTTGACATTTCAGTGACTTTTTTTCCTTTATTTTACAACTGGATAAAGGTTGTTTCCACTAGCCAAAAATAAGTATATTTTCCCCTGTACACATTTTTCACCAGAACCATAACTTAAGAGCAGTCGACTTATTTCAGCTAGTTGATAAATTTAACCGGCTGAAAGACAAAGCAATGCCCCTATACATAGCCTCTGCCATGTACTTTTCATTGTACATGTTAAATTCATATGAAATTTTATAAAATGTTTGGGTAAATTACATTCTCAGTTGTTGGATTTTGTTTGATTATAGGTTTTACTCTCTGATTTACCATGCTATATGTTTCCCTTCAGAAAGTCACATGTTGTTTTGAAAATTGAACAGGAAATCACTGCATTCTGAGTTGAGTACTTACCATGTTCTATTAATAACTCTAGAATCTCATGTATATTATTTTGTAGAAATACCATGTGACTGTGATCATCTAATACCTACAATAAACAAAACAATATACATTTACAATCTTATTACAATTTCTTTGCAAACTGAAACAGTGACCTTGACCTTTGACCTTTAAAACAATGACCTTTGACTTTCATCATCAAAGGCTAGAAACTGATAACAGGTAATTAACTTACAATGTTTGGTACATGTAAGATTCTGGTCATTAAGCAGAAATCATTTTCAGTTCTAAATTGCAGTGATCTTATTATTTGACCTAATTACGTATCCCAAAATATAATAAAAAAGTTTAAATACGAAATCTATAGTAGTCTTTTTCATCAATCAAAATTTGTAATTGTAGTTCAAACTATACAGATATCATATGAAAATGAACATGTCTGTAAACAAATCAATAGTTTGACAGTTGGATTTTTAAAATATAACTTACTTTGTTATTATTTCTTGGTGTTGAGCGACCGCTGGAATCCAGGTCTGGGGATGAAGCCCTAGTTGGCCATCTTTACTGCAGTTAAGGTACAATAACATAGATCTTTTTCATATTACTTAATTTAAGCTATTCAAGACATCTCTAACACATCTATTTTCATCAGCTATTTACAAAATGAATACATTTGTATAATTTACACATTTATATTTATATGTTTTTTGTGCATAATTTAAAAAAACCACATTTTGAGGGGTTGAGTCCATTTTTGTTCAGGAAGCAAACTATTTACAAACTTGCAAATAAACATGCCCCACCTGATCCACTTGACAGCCAAATATCAACTTACCTAACCTTAACCACCCAAGAATTGAGGCCTCCCCATATCAACTTGCGTAATTATAACAATTGAGGCCTCCCCATATCAACTTGCGTAATTATAACAATAGAGGCCTCCCCATATCAACTTGCGTAATTATAACAATTGAGGCCTCCCCATATCAAGTTACCTGACTTTAACCACTTGACTACCAAGACCTTGTTGTATCAACTTGTCAGCAGATCATGCCAAAATGATATTAATATATAAGGATACTCATCACCAGCCACTAACGAGGCTTTTAGTGAAACTTTGTTCAACTGTTGAATGTAAAGAAACAGGACAAACTTCAACGTCGTCACGGTTATCCGATTCTTCATCGCATCTGAATTTAGAAAAATTAACAGTAATCAATAAGAAACATATTGATATTCTAATCCTCTTTAGATATTATTATAATAAATATTATATGGACAGGCAAGAAATAATGGCTCATTTTAGAAGTTAGCAACAATTTCACAATTAAAACGCACAAAGGAAAATTTACAGTATTGTCAGTACTGTCATGAATTAGTTTAGATTTTAGTTTGATTCCAATGTGTTGAAAGCTATAGGCTTATTGAAAACACTCAAATCTGAAAGATGAAATAAATTCCGTACAATAACTTTTTGTTGTCTTTTCCTTATTAAACATTAACTCTTTATCAACAAAATTGTGAATCTGTAATCTTAAAACTGTCTCTTACAGGATCTTGAAAAAATTACTTCACACAGATGCATATAACGGTGGTTGCTTTAGAAATAATTGAATTGATTGTTTTGTAAAAAAAAAATTCTCTAAAATTCGACAATGACAAAGTAATGAAGCCGGAAAACTGAAGCTGATCACTGGATTACCTTTTCCAAGTGTTGATGACTGGGCGTATTTGTGATCCCATTCCAATCTTTCAACTGGGGATGAATTCTCACTCAGTAGATGACAAGTTGTAAAATACCTAGAAAAACATTGTAGTGCTATGTCTAGAGTTCAATGTTTTACAACTCATAACTCAATGAAGATTTGTAAAAGTTCACAGCAATGATGGCATGAATCAATTATTGTAAATTAAATATGTCATATTGTTATTAAAATCATCTCCTTGTCCATATCAAAATATTATATCTTTTTAAAAACAAGATATGTTTGTAAAACATGTATGCCCCCTATCAGCAGCCAATTAGTCATGTGATAAGGTTATTATGCATGACTTCTGACCCAGTGATCAAACAATTAATAAGGGTTATCAAGTATCTACTGGTCATGACCTTAACCTTTGACCCCTTGACCCAAAACTCAATCTATATAGGGGTTATCTGCTGGTCACGACCAATCATCATACAAAGTTTGAAGTTCCTAGGCCTAAGCGTTTTTAGTTAATTGATCAGAAACTGTTTTTAACATTCAAGGTCAATGTGACCTTGACCTTTGACCCCAAAATCAATAGGGGTCATCTGCTGCTCATGACCAATCACCATGCCAAGTTTGAAGTTCCTAGGCCGAAGGGTTCTTTAGTTATTGATCAGAAACCGTTTTTACTTACAATGTCAATGTGACCTTGACCTTTGACCCCTTGATCCCAAAATCAATAGGGGTAATCTGCTGGTCATGACAAATCACCATACCTAGTTTGAAGTTTCTAGGCCTAAGCGTTCTTAAGTTATTGATCAGAAACCGTTTTTACTTACAAGGTCAATGTGACCTTGACCTTTGACCCCTTGACCCAAAACTCAATAGGGGTCATCTGCTGGTCACGACCAATCATCATACAAAGTTTGAAGTTCCTAGGCCTAAGCGTTCTTAGTTTATTGATCGGAAAATGTTTTTACCTACAAGGTCAATGTGACCTTGACCTTTGACCCCAAAATCAATAGGTCATCTGCTGGTCATGACCAATCACCATACCAAGTTTGAAGTTCCTAAGCCTAAGGGTTCTTAAGTTATTGATTGGAAAGCATTTTTACCTACAAGGTCAATGTGACCTTGCCCTTTGACCCCTTAACCCCAATATCAATAGGGGTCATCTGCTGGTCATGACCAATCACCATACCAAGTTTGAAGTTCCTAGGCCTAAGGGTTCTTTAGTTATTGATCGGAAACCGTTTTTACCTAAGAGGTCAATGTGACCTTTGACCCCTTGACCCCAAAATTAATAGGGGTCATCTACTGATCATGACCAATCACCATATCAAGTTTGAAGTCCCTAGGCCTAAGGGTTCTTTCGTTATTGATCGGAAACTGTTTTTACCTACATGGGCAATGTGACCTTGACCTTTGACCCCTTAACCCCAAAATCAATAGGGGTCATCTGCTGGTCATAACCAATCACCATACCAAGTTTGAAGTTCCTAGGCCTAAGGGTTCTTTTGTTATTGATCAGAAACCGTTTTTACCCAAGAGGTCAATGTGACCTTGAACTTTGACCCCTTGACCCCAAAATCAATAGGGGTCATCTACTGATCATGACCAATCACCATATTAAGTTTGAAGTTCCTAGGCCTTAAAGTTCTTTAGTTATTGATCGGAAACCGTTTTTGCCTACATGGTCAATGTGACCTTGACCTTTGACCCCTTAACCCCAAAATCAATAGGGGTCATCTGCTGGTCATAACCAATCACCATACCAAGTTTGAAGTTCCTAGGCCTAAGGGTTCTTTTGTTATTGATCAGAAACCGTTTTTACCCAAGAGGTCAATGTGACCTTGAACTTTGACACCTTGACCCCAAAATCAATAGGGGTCATCTACTGATCATGACCAATCACCATATTAAGTTTGAAGTTCCTAGGCCTTAAAGTATTTTAGTTATTGATCTGAAACCGTTTTTGCTTACAAGGTCAATGTGACCTTGACCTTTGACCCCTTGACCCCAAAATCAATAGGGGTCATCTACTGATCATGACCAATCACCAAACCAAGTTTGAAGTTCCTAGGCCTTCAGGTTCTTTCGTTATTGATCGGAAACCGTTTTTGCTTACAAGGTCAATGTGACCTTGACCTTTGACCCCTTGACCCCAAAATCAATAGGGGTCATCTACTGGTCATGACCAATCACCATACCAAGTTTGAAGTTCCTAGGCCTAAGGGTTCTTTAGTTATCACTCGGAAACCATTTGGTCTACAGACCGACGGACCGACAGACCGACGGACCGACAAGTGCAAAGCAATATACCCCCTTTTCTTAGAAATGGGGGCATAAATATAAAGGCAGAGCTTATGTATTTCTGTGACAGTTCTGTGACAGTATTGTATTCTTTGTGTGAAAATGTTAAAAAGCGATCAAAAGTAACTTACAGCCATGCCAGTTCTTCTGATAAATGTAGTTTATTACAAGCAATGTGTCTCCATACTGAATAACTGAAATGAAAATTATCTATTTTTTTAAAGATGAATAACTGAAATGAAAATTATCATTTTTTTGAAAGATGAATAACTGAAATGAAAATTATCATTTTTTGAAAGATGAATAACTGAAATGAAAATACACTTATTTTAAAGAATCATTTAAGGTGTAGCTTGTAGAAATGCCAGACATACCTTGCCAAATTTTAATCTGGGGAATGAATTCTAGCAGACATGCATTAAAGGAACTCCACTGAGGTTCAAAAGCCCAAAAACATAAATTTGAATTTCTTACATAGATCAGCTGGGGCACTTTAAACAGAAAGATATGTGTAACATAAGTGAGAAATATACTCAGAAATGAATTTAAAATTATGTATTAATATTTGTGCTATTCTTAACCAGACTTGAGTGAATAGCATTGCAACATTTTTAAAGTTTGGGTCATTTTTCACAGTTAGTCTAGAATAATTATTCTGGAAATTACACAGGTACATGTATCTGAAATTTTGCAAACAATTACTGGTTTGGACCTACCGATACATCAAAATTAATGTAACATTAATCTCGGAAAATCATGTCCAATCTCATCATGTCAAAAATTCTCAGTGGAGTCCCTTACCAATTTATATATATAATTTTCTATGTAATTTTTCTCAGTTCTTGGAATTTGTTTAAAGTTTCAAAGTGAGGATTATGTGAACAACTCGGAAGAATTGTGTACATTTGTACCACCAATTCAAGCCAGGGGATAATATAATTGTTTCAGGACAAGCAACTAGAAATAAGTGCTTTCTTGTCTTCCTTGTCCAATAACTTCTCCACCATTTTGTCAAATTGATCATTCATTGTGAAAGCATATAATAAACTGTACTATTTTTGTTATTGGTAAGTGCTGTCAAGAAAAAGACCTGTCAGTCAACTGACTTAAGATTTAAACAGTTCTTTTGTATTTTAAATACTAAAATAGTCTTAACATGGTGTTATGAAAATTTATCTATTTAATTTTTTATAATTGACATTATATTATATATATCTGATCACATAAGACTCCTTTTCCAGTTGGTAATTGCTTATCCCATTATATCATGTCCTAGCCCTAAAGTTAATAGGATAGCTTTACTATTCTTCAATAAACTTTGCCTAAAAATACTTGTCACACTTTAAAAGCATTAATAAATGTCAATTTAGAATAGGAAATTATAATAACAATGCTAACCTTAATCTTGGAAATCCTGTATCACCTTTGTTTTTGGCATATATCACAATTTTCTTTATATTCTGAAATAAATTTATTAAAACATTTATTGGCCATAGACCATGATATTATGATAAACTTTATGTAATGTCCTATAGTTTACAGAACAAAAAATATATATAAAGTCACATTAACATTGCAATAAAGTAAACAGGGACTGGATCCAAGATTACAGCTCTTGTATTTGATTGGTCAGAAGCACAAAATAGCTCAAACTCAGATCTCAGGTATTTGATTGGTCAGAAACTGACACAAAATATACACTGACCAATATAAATCAAGAAATTTATAACCTTGAGACCTGTTGCACTAAAGAAATACTTATAACTCTTGTTTGCATTAAAATATTAAGAACAGTGAAGAGTTATTCAGATTCAGCAATGTAAAAATTTATATTTTCTAGCAATAACTAAATAACAATAATAATTACATTAAAATTAAGTCTTGGATGAGGTGCAATATGAAAAGCTCCATAGCTGAAAGGTTCTGCCTTCACCCAGAGACTAACTGTTGTGTCTGAAGCCATAATCTGAAATTTGAAAATATGATCATCTCAGTAATGTATAGTAATTCATCTGTGTACGGACAAGTTCTTTATATTCTTTGAATTTCAGACAGCCAGTATAAAAAAAGTTTAGTTGACCTAATATATATTCAACATTATGGCGTACATACCATAATTTGTAGACTAATTTCAAATGACATGTTTCAATAGAGTTTTGGGTGGGGGGGGGGGTCATTTTGATCAGCAACCAAATTGCTTCTCAAATTTAGATAGTTCCATACAACTGAGAATACCTATATATAAAAGTAATAAGGGTCTGATGATTCAATCAGAGAATAACATGAGGCTATTTTTAGTATTTCATTTGGTTAAAAGAGCTAGGATGGTCCCCTATGGTACCACTGTTCTTATTATTTCCAGCAAATTGTACAAATAAAAAGAACTTATATTTACTATTTTATTGAATTGTGTTTAGCTGTCGCATCTTGACTTTAAAATACACATGTCATTCATGGAACAACTCAATGATTTTAATTAGAAACATCTATGGTCCGGCAGCCATGTTTAGAATGGGAGCTAATACGGAGAGCACTATGGTACCATGGTATATTAATTGATGGCCCTTTTTGGCTTCATTAGAATTTTTTTTCAATAGAATATGACGTCACTACAGTTTCAGCAGACGACCTTCACTTGTCGGAACATGAAATTATAAGTTTAACCGTTAAATATGGGGTAAAATAAAGAAGTTTTTTCAGCACACACAGGCAGCTTCGGATTTTCCTATCAATGACATAATTTATTTGAAATGAAAAATTTCTATCCAAATTCACAAAAAGCAGCACTTCCACTTTAATGGTGGAAACAGTATTTGGTGGCATTCAATGTGTAAAAAAAAACAAATTTTCTGATTACATCGGAATGGGCAAGGACGCGTACCCGCGGGGAGTACTATACATGTAAAACTCAAGTCTGAAAAAGTATTGATGATTCATCAATGTTGTTTCTACCCACCACAGCACTAACTATACTACAGATTTTGAAAAAAAATGGAACAACCTCATTGGACAAATTATTACTTTATCCACTAACTTGCATTAAAAGGAACTGGCAAAGTAAAAGATTTAATACAAGTGACATTTACTGAAGTTATCTTTGATAATAGTTAATACTGAATAGGAGGAGCTTACAAGCCATCTTGGCTTAAATGTTCAGAAGAAGGAGAAGGTAAAGATGTAGATTATTGGCCAAAAAAAATCATGTAAACTAAAAACACAGAAAAAAGCAAATTTGCTACTGTCATCAATTTTTAATTGACAAGCAAGGTGTCAGCTGATTTCTCTAGGTACAGAGACTGAAACATTGCAGCTTTTCAAAAATCATTACCATACATGACATAAAGGATGTTAAAAGAACTATGAAGATCAAAAAATCCCATAATCTGTGAATAGCAGAACAGATTACAATTTACAGAAAAATTATGACACTATGATCAATATAACGTTTGGGTTATTTCTGAACCGATTCATTTCCAGCGCATATTTACTTACACTAAAGACAATATGAATGGAGTCGGTAAAATGAGTATTTTCTCACAATTAAATAATTATTTGCATTTTTTTGGCGCTGGATGTGAACATTCTTGTTTACGGAAGTTACTTACGAATAATATTGTATCCTTGTTTCATGACAATAATAGTTTTAAAATGCGTTTTGTAAAAGTGGTACCAGGTAGATAAACCAATGAAAATTCGCCACAGATATAATATTTTGTAGCAGAATAAGATTTCCGCTTTGATACAACAAGCGTTTTCATTGGTCCACATCATTTCCGGTGAAGAAGCCGCATAGACAGAAAGATGAAAATATTCTTGTTTGTGATATTTTGTCTCTTATTTGCTTTGACAGTTGGTGAAAATGTCAAAGGTACAGTGCAACTTAATTCCGGAGTATTTGACAAGGTAATAAAGTATTTTAAACAAATGCAAACATATACGTAACGCCTTAATAATGACATTTTGTTATGTCTCCACTGCATCATGATCATGTGCATCAGCATGCACAGACAATATCTGAGTATTGCGTCCAGTGCTAGTTATAATTTGCAGAGACATAGATAACAGAGATAGGCAACTTCCTAGCCAGTTAAAATATCACGCGTGCCTGCTAAACTTAAAACTTATAGCAAGTAAAACTTATTAACCAGATATCAAAATCAGTAAAATAATACATTTTCTGAAAGCTGCAGGTAAAAATATTTACAGTTCCCATTTAGATAAATGATACATCATTTTTAAAGAGAACTACTTAATAATTTTTGTCACAAAACTATTCTTATGACAGAAAAACTGGCTCAGTGGGTATGTTCTGCTATGTTTTTCTAAGTGAAAGGTATGGAAAGTTATTAATATTTTAACATGCAGCATTAGATAAAAGATTTAACTTTCAAATGGTATAATATATTAAAGGATCAGATGTACATCCATTAAGTTTTATTTGCTACAAAATGCCTATTTTTCACTTTTTTGATAGGCATGAGTGATATTTCAATGGAGTATATAGGAGCTGCTTATCTCTGTTATCTATGTCTCTGTAATTTGCAAGTATATAAAGAATAATTGAGGCTCATGAACAGTGAGTACATTGGGGTCACAATAACACCAGATACATGGCGCTGAACTGATAACATGCAATGTTTATTCTATGGTCCTAGTGGTTATTAACCACTAAGTTTATTGTGCTAACAGCAGCTTTGATTGGCACATTTATATCTAAAAGTAATCATTCATCCAATTTAAAGACAAAATAAGTTTTATATAATTGAAACGCGACTTGCAATGTGCTAATTTGATACTTAGTAATTATGAAAGTAGGTGATTTAATGTGATTTATCTGACATCTACATGTAGTTATCTAAGACCGCTTGTGACAGCCCTCGCAATGCATGTGACAAATGCACTTTACCTAGCATACTGGTGAAGTGCATTCCACTCATATTTTCATATGAACAAAGCTACTGCTTACCAAATTATAAGCCAATATATACTTTTAATAGCAAGTTCTGATTTTAGTGTGGAACAGTTAAATATATCAATCAGCATATTCATGTGCATTGAACCAGTTTCCTATTGAACAGTGCAGATTAAGCTTGGCAGTGAAATGAGAGCCAAATTCAATTTTCCTGATAAATTATTTAAAACCTTACTTACATAAAATTTAGCTCAGTTCTATTTCTTTTCAGATTATTTCCAAGCACAAGTTTGTTCTTGTGAAATTTGATGAGACATATCCATATGGTGATAAACAAGATACATTTAAATCAGTTGCAGAGGCCTGTATAGCACAGAAAGATTTATTGATTGCAGAAGTGCAAATAGCAGGTTTGTTTATTATACTTACAAACGCTGAACACAGCTTAATGTTTATTTCATTCTATTGTTATTAGCTTGACTATTAGATAAGAATAAGTAGAGCTATTGCAGTCACCCGAGCGTCGGCGTCCGCGTCGGCTTCCGCGTAACCACTTATGTAAAAGTTTTTGTAATAGTTCAAATATTTTCAAAGTCCATAGACATATGGCTTTGAAACTTTGCACACTTGTTCACCATCATGACCCCAACCTGTAGACAGGAGGAGGTAACTCTATCAAGCATTTTGACAGAATTATGCCCCTTTTTCGACTAAGAATTTACGTTAAAGTTTTTGTAATAGTTCAAATATTTTCAAAGTCCATTGACATATGGCTTTGAAACTTTGCACACTTTTTCAACATCATGACCCCAACCTGTAAACAGGAGGAGGTAACTCTATCAAGCATTTTGACAGAATTATGCCCCTTTTTCGACTTAGAATTTACATTAAAGTTTTTGTAATAGTTCAAATATTTTCAAAGTCCATTGACATATGGCTTTGAAACTTTGCACACTTGTTCACCATCATGACCCCAACCTGTAAACAGGAGGAGGTAACTGTATCAAGCATTTTTATTACTATCAAGCACTAAGAATAGTCGAGCGTTGCTGTCCTACCGACAGCTCTTCTTTTGTTAACCCTTACTGCTCAATTTATGAAATGAATTTGCCATGCTTTGAATTTTGAACAGTCCATTATGATTTAGAATTTTAAGGATTTCTGGAAAGAAAAGAATACTAACAGAATAGACTTGCTCTTTCCTTGTGGCAAGGGGTTTTCACTCGGTTTCAGCCTAATTGCTGTATCATACTTGATAAATATTAAGTAAATGTATCACAATGCTAAAATGGAATATATTTTTCCCAAAAGATATCTGACATGTCACAGTTAATGCAAGCTAATGTTTAGTTTATTTATATTTCAGATTATGGTGATAAGGATAATGTGGACTTGGCTGAAAGATACGGTGTGCCTACAAATAAAGATAATCTCCCTGTGTACATGTTATTCCGGCTAGGAAGTGACCAGCCTGTTAAATATACTGGTGATAATCTGGATGCGGATGATATCAAGAAGTTTATCATGACAGAATCAGGTTAGCTAGATGTTTAGTTAGACTTTGACTTTTAATGATACTATAACTGGTATAATTTTATACTTGCTTGAGATTCCAGTTCAAACCCAGTGCCATTTATTTTGAAATATTGTACATGTTATTTAGCTTTAAAATGGCATCTATGTAGAGGTTCTGTCTAAGATCTTAACATACATACTTGACTTAAAATTTACATCAGTTGCCTTGTATATTCATATTATAATCTGTATAAAAAGATTATAATCTTGTTAAATTTGCCGATTTGACGATATGTGAAGCATAATCCTTCATTAACCATTTAAATTTTTACTGTCCAATTTTATTATTTTAGGTCTTTGGCTAGGTTTACCAGCATGTCTTGAACAGTTTGACAGACTAGTGAAACAATTCTTCAAAGCTTCTGCTGACGGGAAGAGTAAATTAATTGCAGAGGCAGAGAAAGAGGCGGAGTCTTTGACAGCTGAAAAGGACAAGGCGTCTGCAAATATGTATATCAAAACAATGCAGAAAGTTGTTGAAAAAGGTGCTGATTTTGTGGGCACAGAAATCGAACGATTAGAAAAGTTGAAATCTGGTAAATTAAGTGATAAAAAGAAGGAGCAGATTGGCGATCGTTTGAATATTTTAGCAACATTTAGTGTTAGCAAAGATATTAAAGACGAGTTGTGATGACCGGCATTTCTTACATTCTCATTTCATGCATTTATTATTTTATTTTTTATTCATCTCTCCAATCCATGTACATGCTACTTATTGTTTTAGGTTATCTGATACCGAAATAAGCAATTAAACAGTTGTAATAATTATCAGTAATAAGGTGACAGTAATTGTTCTATGATTTTTAATATCAGAAGCTTTTATATTATTAAATTTAGATAGGATGTTAACAAGATTGTGTAATGTCTGAACAAGTGTTCATTCTATAATAGTTTCTGCACAATCATGATATTGATTAATGGTGTATTAAATACATTACGATTATTAAAAAAATCATTAAAAAAATCGTATAATTTGGTTCATCAATTTTATTTTTAAATAACCTGCTTTGTTTGTCACAAATCTTTAAATATTCTTTTGCATATAACTTCTTTACTTTTTTTCATGTAATACTAAGATTTTGTAAGAAAGAAATTGGATGGTAGAGTTTTGAAATATCATTTTTAACATGTTGACATGATATAGCATTTTACATGCATTAAGATTAAATTTTGAATTTACATGTATTTGACTTCTTTAAATGACAGCTTTAAGCTATTCAAGAATTGGTTAATGTATGCAAGTGTGTAATATGGTCCTTTTTTTTATGGATAGATTTTTGTATGTAAATATATATTTTTTTCTTCCATAACCTGAAGTGCAGGCTGTTTTTCTACTATAATACACGTTTTGGGAAAAATTACTGCTTTGCCTAAATTCATCAATGTTTTGAGATTGAATTTAAGACTGAATTGAAGCATTTAGAATTCTAATTATAAAAGTTTTTTGTTCACAAAAAGGTCATATAGGCAGTAAAAGATAATTTCGGCAAAATTTAAAAGCATTCATTTGCAGTCAAACACAAAATGTGACTTAACAGGTTGTCAAACATGACTGTTCAGTGTTTTTTTTCTTCTTTATATAACTACCCTAAAACGGTACTGTTCCCGATAGAAAATAGACATTAAAATTCCCAATTTCCAATGTTTAAATTCCCAAAATTGCTGTTCAAAATTTCTACAAGGCAAAGTGATTTCTCTGAAATCATTTAAATCAAACATGTTTATATAAATCACCACTCAATAGTTCTACCTGGACAGTGGAAGCTGTTAGCTATCTTTATTCATGATGACTAATCTTATTTTTAGCTGAAAAAATGCATTAAAAAATTCCCAATTTAAGTCAAAATAACGCATTTTTTCCCAATCAGTCTGGTACCGGCACCATTCCCAAAGTAGAGAAAAAAACACTGCTGTTGTAATAACAGACTTAAAATATTGTTGTTAGGCAAATTTAGATCTAGAACACTTGAGTTTAAATTACAGACTGTCTGATATAAAACATTTGATGAATTTAGGCATGGAAGACTTAAATATCTTTATTTATATAATATATTTGTTGTATAAAATGAATGTTTTGATGATCTTTTACTTTAAGAAAGTAATATTTCAAACTATATGATAGTTTAGAGATAAATCAAAATTAGTTATATATAAGAATACTCAAGGGAAAAATAGAAAACCCCCAAAAAATTACTTTTACTTTACTTTCTAAAAATTCTTGTTCTTTTGATATTGTTAAGGTTATTATTCTGTTTATAGCTCAGACAAGATGAAAAAATCTGACATGAGTTTTGGTTTTGTAAAACTTAAAAGTGTTGAAAAAGTTGTTTAATGAAAATGTTGATATGTGACATAGGCAAAACTTTTTTCTATGAGTTTTATATTTTTTACGGTGGTATCAACTCTATGAAACAAGTTCAGTAAAATTGGTGCTATAAAGCATTGTTCAGGTCAGCCTAATAAGATTTTTTTTCTGTAAAAGGTCTGTATTGTATTGAACTCCTGACCTGCTGGAACCAAAAGTGGTCAGTCTTTGCGATCTTTATTGCTCCAGACCAAGCCTGCGCATCCATATTGTCTGACCAGACTCTTTATAATTGGTAGCTAAATCTTTGTATTTTACTTTGATATTGAAATTCCATAAATATTTAATTAGTTTGTTCCAAATTCAAAGCTTGCAGAGAATCATTATTTTATATTGTCATATGACTAACTGTGCTAGTGTGATGTTTAACCCAATAAAATTGTTTTAAACAGAGGCCAATGGGGAAAAAAGGTTTTAAAAAAATGATTTGCTACATAATTTTTTACGTACATAGACATACATATATGCATAAGCAGGTACTAAACTTTTGTTTACTTTTATTTTTCAACTATCATATTATTATAGACTGTATCTAAAGAATATAAGCAGTTAGCTTGCTTTTTACACATGCTTTTATGCTTTTTGTCAGCACTTACATAAAGTGGGTTATTTTTCTTTGCTTTTGTTATCTTTGTTAATTAATTAATTCTTATCCCTTTCGTTGCCTTAAAGATGGCTACACTTATCCCTGTCACAGTACCATCCATTTTCCTAAAGGAACAGTATACTGTTTTTGGGAAAGTAAATATTATTTATTTGATTAATTGATTTTTGTATGTTGTTTTAATTATATTTTTAGTTTGTGGATGACATAAAAATCATATTCTTCCATGAACATATAGGTTTTTTTAAAGTGTATATATCTTTTTTATGCATAAAAGAAAAAAAATAAGAATTCATCTGTTAAATATAATTTCTGAAATTCATTGAAAGTTCAGACCAAATGCACCTAAATTATACAAGGAAAGTTCGGGCAGTGAAAGGGTTTTTTGTTGGGCATAATTGATTATGTAGAATTTCAATCAATGTTTTAATGAATGTTTGAGAATTTCGGTAATGATCTTTGTTGTGATCTTTATTCAGATTTTCTTTAATTAAGAGGTGTAGGGTTGGATACTGACATAAAGAAAATAATACAAAAAACTTTTCCATTTAAAGCTGCATGCATGCAGATGAGCTAAAATATTTCAAGGAAATCAGATTTGAGAAAATGTACTAAGTTTTAAGAAGTGTATAAAGATTCACAGTTCAAGAAATATTAATTTACATGTCATGTGAGATTCATGACTGTTTTTGTAACATTTATCAACATATTTCTACTTTGTGACTTACACAATAATGGCTTTTTTTTGTCACACTATAGTTTTAAAACTTATAATAATGTGCACATTTTCTTCTATATACATTTATTTCTTTAACTAATTTACATGTGTCTTTGTCACAGTAAAATTTGTTTAAACGCTATCTGTAAAAATTTGTACCTAAAACAGCAGATTATTTCACAAGAATAAGTCTTGTTAATACATAAAATGGTCGATGGATCTACCAAAAATAATTTACCATTCTGCCGTGTGCCATAGTGCCAGTGACACAGAAAGTAGTTCCCTATTCAGACGTCTTCCTACACCAGTAGTATCAGATAGCAACATTTAAATGCAGTTTGCATCTACTAATGTTATGAATTTTGAATGTGTAATTGTTATGAAATTTTATGTTTTGTTTGATTATTATGCCAATTAGAAGTTTTAATTATACCTGGATGGTCAGTCCACCTGACTTGTGTCACGTGATCAGCAGTGAGAGAAATGACCATTAAACGAAATGTCCGAAGAGTAATTCAGAGAAATTTCTTCTCATAGCCACCCCCCTACCCCCACCCTCTCGGATCAAACCAATGGTTCTTTAAATTATGCATACCAAATAATGTTGATTTTTGTACTCTAACTTTTAAGTAAAAATGTAGATAAATTATGGTGTAAATGGGAAATTATGGCAAATATGGGATTATTATTGAGAAAATTGTAATTTTTATGTTGTGATGTTTTGTTACTTTACTTAGATATAATTTTTTTATTTAGTGGACCAGTTATTGATAGATACTGAGCACTTTTTTAATCGGGGAATAAAAATAATGTGGTATGAATGGTGTTCATTTTTATTTCAACTGAAGATGAAAAGGTGATGTTTGTGATTGATTATTTAATCTTTTCTACGGTCATTCACACTGTACCTCTGCTCTGGCATATACAGAAGTTATCAGTTCCTTGCGAAAATGCAGGCAACTAGTACTGGTAAACTGCTTGACAGCATGCCCAGGAACTATGTGGTGGCTGAACTGTGCTCTGGTAAATTCAACGTGGCTTACAGCTATGATCCACATTGAAAATTTCCAACACCAACTGGCAACAGCGCCAATGGTAACCTTGATAAGCAGACCGACCCTCTTATACGCGGGTATCCTTTTTACAGTAACAGTATTAATTTTTCTCTTGATTTTGGACACGAAAACCTTTGTAGAGCAACCTCTCTCAACAACGGCCAGATAAGACTCTTGGTCTCTAAAAAGAACCTGTAAGCTGTTACACTAAATTCGGACAAATGGATAAGCGACGTTCGGATCCGAAACCTGATATATTTTTAGACGTAGAGATTATCTTCATGAACTCTTACAGAAAGAATCGTGCGTATAAGAAGACAATTGTCGTACAGTACAATCGGATGTGCCCTACATGAGCTGCGTTTCATAGAAAATCTTAAGTGTATCTGAAGTCCGAGGACATAAAACCCACTTGGATTTAAATGTTTTACCTTCAGTCAGAATGTAGACTATAATCAAATGCATTTTCCTGAGAAAGTTAAGAAATACAATGACAGACTCTATTATTTGCAATGTCACTGTATAATGTGGTTTTGCTCATCAGTGTTGCTATTCAGAAATTAAGAGTCTTTAAGTTAGGACATTTTCTTTGAAACTGTCTCAGTTTTGGTCTAAATACTTATTTTAGTCTGAAACGCAGTCATGAACTAATAAGCTATTTCATTGGCAAATGAACTGGGTAGGTGATGGTGGACGAAGGAAATTGATGTATTTTAAGAAAAATACTCGGAATACAGACTGCTTAACCGTGTGTAATACGTGCATTTTAAGACCTTGTTTTTGCATGAACGCGCCTTCTTTTCAGCAAATTTGCATTTAATTTAGACAAATGAGTAGGTGATTGACTCCGGAAATGTGTATGATTACGAAAACAAGTAAAATTGATTTTTTAGCAGAAAAGAGTAGCTGCATGCTCTAGGCACTTGCAAGCCTTTCATGGCCTCGTTACTGAAGCCACGACATTGCCGAAAAGGCGAGTTTTGCAGCTGTTAGTCAACGAAATCGGTCGAGAACCACTGAATATGGTTTTTGCAACAAATTATCTTTTGCAACATACACAAAGAACTTGCAAAATTTTAATTCCAAATAAAACAGTTTCGCATGTCCTTCAAAGCACATGACTTCCATTACTGTGTGTAAGAAGTAGTGCAAGGAGGCATTTATAGAATTATGGACTACCATAATTATGAAAACAGCAGTCAAATTTTAAAATACAACATTTATATTTTGTTTCAGTGAAGTGAGTCTGTTTGCCATGTATCCAATAAATAGATTAAAAATTGTTTTATTATTTCTCTGGGACTATTTTCTTGCAAACAAAATGGAGGTCATGTTCTTTTCAAGGATAGGGGCTGCTTTACTTAGTTTTTAGTTTTACAAGACATTTTTGTTTATTGCTAAAATAGCACTGGACTGCACTACAGCAGACTTTAAACTGGATTTACCATTTACATGAAAACTGTATAAAACTTTTAATCCATATTGTGAAAAAATGGTTGTTTTCATGGAAAAGTCTCCCGTTACAAGTTCAAATTACTATAAAACTATAAACTTATCAAACTTGGCACAAATGTTGTATACATATTTTGATCGACAGTATTAGAGAATATAATACTTCTGGCGGCTATCTTGGAGCCAATGGCGGCACATTGGTTTACTCGTTATTTACCACCTTCAATATTCGTACAATTCCGATAAACTTCTTGCATTTTCTACAAAAACTAGTAGAGGACACAGCTAGAAATACTTGATATACTTAACTTTATATATAATAATATATGTTTAAATCACAAGAAATAAAACAACACTGATCGTCAAAATATTTGTATTGCTTTATGCAGAATTTTCTATATAATAAAATTTGCATATATACATGTATATATCAATGATTAAACATCAAAACAACCAAAACAGTCCAATACAATAAACACAACATCACTAATCCGATTACATTGAATTGGTTTTTAAATCAAAAGTGATACGATTTATATTTCACCGAAGAGCGAAAATTTTTCGATACGAAATATACTTTTGATGGGAAGAGAAATAAAAAACAAACAATATAATAACTACTGGTTATCAAGGCATGCGTAACAAAACAAAATCTATACTGATACATAAGTGTTCCAAATTGAAAGATATTTTTTAGTTTCATTTTTGTTGTTGATATGGAAAGTCTTCAAAATTTTTTTTGTTTAATAAAATGGTATTTCACAATACATGTACCATCAACATCTCTCTCTGGGCTTAACTTAAGCACAATATACAGTCTTAAAAGAAAAAAATAGAAGAACTATAGTTTACGTATTTGTTTTGTTTGGTTTTACGGCGAATAAACACAATTTTGTCATATGGCGCCGAAACAGGTAAGATGATTTTGGCTTACATCGGTGTTACAACAACAGTGGTCAAAACCACCCCACCTGCTTGAGCTAAGAAATGCATAGACTCCTGCAACGGTGGCAGCAATACTGATGCCTCAACTCTTTTGCAGCAACCTCTCAGTTTCAAGGGGATGCAATTTACGTCATAAGTACATGCATTTCTAATTGAAGTTTCTTTTGTGTTGTGTTGTGTTGTGTTGTCAAAAATGTCTTATAATTCGTCACAATGTTTGTTAATAACTCATTTCACACTTTTATGAACACTACTCTGAGCTTACAGTACAGGACTTGACTAAAACATAATATTACCACAGGCAAGACAAGAAAAAATAGAATAAATAATTTTACTAAAAAACTATTTTTAATTTGAATCATTTCTTGTGATGTGTTTTTAAAAATGGCAAAAATTTCTTCAAGAACGCCACAGGGCATAGCTAAAACATAATCATAATATGCAGTCTTTAATTAAATCAACCAACAGGCAAAAACAAGAAAGAAAAACTACAAAAAATACACAATTTGTTTAAGTAACATTTTTTCCTTCAGATTTGAACACAACGATTAAATGAAAGACTGTTTTCTAATAACAATATACAATTAACTGCAATTACACAAGGCACTACACTGTAACCTATAGCAACGCTAAACACCAACCAGCAAAACCATAGACGGTCATGTGATGCAAAATGAAAATATAAAACAGAATCATCTACAAGGACACTTGCGATAATGTCAAGAATGTTGCAATATTGCATTTTTGTCTTCAAAATTTAATTTGCATAGTAGATCTAGACCTGAATGATTTTTAAAAAATCCGAAATATCTTTACAACTGTCATTAAATCTTGATAAAAGCCAAAAATATTAACGCCTTGTTAAGAACAGAAATAATTTTTTAAAATAACATCGATTTAATTAGATATTGCCAAAAATTAGTTAATTTGAGTGCTACTTGTCGGAATCATCAAACGTGCCGCCTCTTGAATTCTCAAAATATGTTCATACTATTTAGCTAACAGTGGAAGAATCGTTATTTGATACGTTGTAAGTAATGTCAAGGCCATAAACGGCTTGCGAAACACCAACTGTTGTTTTCACTTATCCTTCTTTTGCTCATCGGTTAACGGTCCAATATTTTCAAGTTGCGGTTTACCGTTTGCAGCATTCTCTTTGTCGTCTGCAACGACATCTTCTTCCGTTTCCTCCGTCGGCCCGCTAAGTCCACATAACTGCAGCGACACATTCCATAATCGCTTGCCAAGTTCCTTATCTTTTGCAGAGTTCTTTACCTTGTAGATGGTACAGTTTTCAAGGACTTTTCCTGACATGTCGCGTAATTTGTCGGCTACAGCGCAGAACACAACTGTTTGACAACCTTCTTCCGGTGATTTGAAGAAAACTCTTGCGCATGCACGAAGTACATTTCCGGCCACCCCAGGCCAGTTCCTCAACAGATCTGTACAAACCATTCCTGCAAGAGATATGAAATATTTCATGGAGCTAGGTCTCTACTATAATGTATAATTCCGATTGATATAATATTCAATTACACCTATTTTGGGGGCGTCCGTGGCCGACTGGTTAAGGTCGTTGACTTGAAACCACTTGCCCCTCACCGCTGTGGGTTCGAATCCCGAAAGGAAGTCCGGATTCCTTCTTGTGAGGAAGCTATCCAACTAGCTTACGGAACGGCGGTGGTTCTACTCAGGTGCCCGTTAGTGCCTAAAATAATGCACGACAGGGCACTTGAGGTCTTCCTCCACCAGTAAAGCTGGAACGTCGCCAAAATGACCAATACTGTGTCGTTGTGACGTAAACCCTAACAACCTATTTGTCAGTGAGTCACATGTTTGACACAGGGATAAGACTCTTTGATTTGATATTATCCTATACCACCAACCCTCCCTCTAGTGCCTGTTACAACCACCGAAAATATAATTTAAAGTCAATTTACTATTCATTACTACAATAAAATACTAATACTATAGAAGTATAATGAAAATTTCTTAATTGTGTCATATTATTGTTGTTATGAATACTTAATGTGGAAATTTACTTTAAATTATAATTTTGGGGTTTCAATTAACTGGGACTGGAGGAAGGGCATGGAGAGTAGGGGTAGGGGATAATATTAGCTTTAAGTGTCATATCCCTGTGATGTTTGAAAAAGGAAGACTCCATCTCAATCATATAATATATATGAAAAGACGGACATCTCTTATTCTTTTCACAAATGAGGGGAAAAAAACATGTACATTTCATTTTTAAGAACTAATATTATGATATAATGCACTGACATACCTGGATGAACTCCGTAGGATTGCACAATAAAGGGCGACAATCGACGATGTAGTTCCATTGTGAATATAACCATTGCCAACTTGGATCGCCCATACGCCTTATAAATATCATAGTTCGTCAAAGCAAGGTCCTCAAAATCCATCTTTGCCTTCCTGAAAAAATATGCATAAAAGGAATCAAAAATGGCTTTTAATTCCGGTGCATTTGTAAAAACGTGACTTTGTTAGCAAAAAATGATGAAAAACCTTGGAATTACCCAAAATCTAGATTTTCCATGTTAACACGTGGCCTTACACCTAATTTTGGTGAAAAATTGTTGTTTTGTGACAATTTTTATTTTTTTAGTTAACTTAGTTCCAACTGCTATAAAACTATGAAAAATGCTTCAATACTAATGAAACTTGGCACATATGTTGACTGAACCATAACCACTGTAAAAACATGCTCAATCTTAAATTTCCTGTTACCATGGCAACGGGGGACGTCTCAAAATTGCGAAAAATCACTATTTTGTATCGTGTTTCCATCAAAACTGATTTCAAAGTGCTCAAACTTCTCAATGCAATGAGATAGAGTAAAAGGCTTTTCAGCGTTGGTTACACGTCACCTTAAGATCGACCTGAGGCCAGTTTTCGCCTGTCACATGCCCAAAATTTTCTTGGCAATGAGGGGGACTACCGCTCCCCTTCAAACCACCCAAACAGAAGGGGGTACATTCCCTTTCTGTCAACCCTAGTGTATCATTTTTATGGGGAGGGGGGGGGGGTCGCGCCGATAAATTGGTCACTTTTTTAACAACATTTCTCAAACGAAAAACAGGGCCTAAATAGGGCATTTTGTCACTGTTTGAGGCCTCAAAAAACGGGGGGGGGGGGGGTGCAAAAAGCCGTCAAAAGACGTCTATATGAGGAAAAGGTTAAACAACAGTGGCCTCTTGATCTCTTGATATTAATTCTTATTATTTTCTAGTGTATAAAACATTGTTTTGTGTCGCATTTTGTGTCCAAAACCAAGAAAAACCCAGTCTACTTATTAACAAAACAATAATTTTTAATAAAATTACCGGAATGCTTGGAAAAATATTGATCTTTATTTCAGCTACTTAAACAACAGTAAATGTTCGTTTGTTTTAAGTTAAAAAGGAACAATTTAAGGAAATGCTGCAGTTTTCATAAAATATGAAAACTGTTTCAAGGAAAACTTTAGGCGGATAAATGTGGGTCACCGATCATTTTTTTATAGTTATCTGCCCTTTAATATGTTATTTCTTTCTTCAAGGGAAGACAATTTCATCATGAAGGTAAGTAAAGCGTTTTCTGCTTTTTATGCAGCTGACTCCTTTGCAAGTCATTGTGAAAAAAAAAATTCGTAAAGATCGGCGTGTCTTTATTTACCCAAAGCTACTGTATGCAAATTTTCTTTAAAAATGGCCATTTTTAAAAAGATTTTTCAATGTCTTTACCTATATGAAAACAAATATCAAAATGTTTTATGGAATTGAATGAAATTTTGTTTTGTGATCATAAATGACATGAAAACATTAACCGAATTTTAACACTTTTGCATAAGTTATACTACATGTATTATGCCCTTAAATTACCTAAAATAAGCCAAACAAAACAGTAATAAAATAAAATACAAATAAAAAATACATAAAAAATCAATTTTAAGGGCAGACAATTCAAAGACTCATTCTTTAAAAATATTTTTTGATTTATCTAAATTTCTTCTTTTCAAATACATGTAAATAAAAAGGTTCAATGTAGAATCTCTTCAAATTCTGAAAACATGAATATGTTAAGTGCAACGATTAAGTTGAAACTACATGTAATTTTGTAAGAAGTAACCCCTTATACACATTTTCCTACGTTTAATAGACGGTTAATTCTATTGCTGAGTTTATCACATTTCCTCATCCAGAGGGAAAATGAGTTTCTTTCTTTATTTTTTTTATTTTTTTTCTTTCTTTCTTTATTTTCTTTCGTTCTTCTTTCTTTCTATCTTTCTATTTTTCTTTCTTTCTTTCTTTTTTCTTTCTTTCTTTCTTTCTTTCTTTCTTTCTTTCTTTCTTTCTTTCTTTCTATCTTTCTATTTTTCTTTCTTTCTTTTTTTCTTTCTTTCTTTCTCTCTTTCTTTCTTTCTTTCTTTCTTTCTTTCTTTCTTTCTTTCTTTTCTTTTCTAATAAATGATACGTATTTAATTGCACTGTTCATAGTGTTATTGCATTGTTTATAGTGATATTGCACTGTTTATAGTGATATTGCGTTGTTTATAGTGATATTGCATTGTTTATAGTGATATTGCACTGTTTATAGTGATATTGCGTTGTTTATAGTGATATTGCATTGTTTATAGTGATATTGCATTGTTTATAATGATATTGCACTGTTTATAGTGATTCTGCATTGTTAATAGAGATATTGAGTTGTTTATGATGATTTATGTACATGATGCAAGGAACAGTGTTGTTTCTGTCTATGTTTTGCTAATCAGACACAACAACAACAACAACTTCCAGGAACCATACATAGATCGGAATTTTGATATTGATGAAAGTACTCCAGGTAGATATAAGAAATAGATTGGATACAAAATTTGTTTCCTTTTTTCCGACTCTCTGCTGAGAGTATTTGTAATATTTTTGCCAATTCATGAGAAGGTTTTACCTTTTTATCAGCATGCTTCCATAATTTTGTCAAAATTACTTTAGTACAAACGGTGTGTAGAAAAGCTTCAGGATCTATACATGTGTATTTCAGCTTCTAGAGCTGTCATAATAAAATCATATAAGTTTGTAATACAGCCGTAACATTTCTAAGTTAATGCTCAGCAACTTGAACTACCGTCCGTAAGTTCGAATCCCTCTCAGGCTGTTGATTTTTTTCCCCAGTGATTTGGCCATCAAATAATTAATGTACTTTCCGTTATGAAATTTACAATGAACACTGCAGTTCTAAATGTCAATGAACGGACATTATTATCATGCAAACAATATCAAAATGTTTTCTTACGTGTAACTGTCGGATACGAGATTTATTACTCTGCTCGGCGCACTGCGTTTTAGCTTCTCCGTCAGAAGGTTTGTAAGATAAAAATGACCAAGGTAGTTAACTCCAAAACACCTCTCATATCCATCTGAAGTGGTCTCCCTTGGGCCCATATATGCTACAGGGAGAAATAAAGAGCCGTTATGAGTTTTCAATAGTTTTTTTTTACTATATTAGTATTAATGTTCGATAATTACTGCCTGGAAGATCAAGTTCAAATATAACTATGAATTTAAAGGGACTCCACTGAGGTCCAAAAGAAATAAAACTTATAATGATAATACAAAAATTCCTTACATAGATTAGCTTGGTCACTTAAATCAGTGATAGGCAAAAATAATTAAGAAATATATTCAGTATCAATGGAAAATCGTATTTTTTGTGCTATTCTTAGTTTATTTTGAGAGAAAAGCATTGCAACGCTTCAATTTTTGATCAGTTTTTACAATCGGAATGATTATTCTGGAAAAATGTAGTGAGGAAATGATCTGAAATTTTGCACAAAAGTTATTGTTCTAGACTTATCCCATATGGAACATTAATCATTAAAAAAAAAACCTAAGTGGAGTTCCGTTAATAGGTGTTTATATCTAAGTAAATCGTAAATACAGACATGACACATTGTGATAATTTGAGAATTTTTTTCTACAGTTGCTTCTGTAATACTTTTTAATATAACTGATTTTAAAATAAATTTATTTCTACTTACCTGCATTGTTTTTCGGTTTCCCTATTTACCTGCATTGCTAACCTTTTTACTTCTTAATTACCTGTATCGTTTACCTTTTCAATTATTGTTACTGATAAACTGTTGAATGCATTGTTGATCAGTATGCCTCCATTAAATTGCATTGTTTATCGGATATTTTCAATTAACCAGGTTTTTTTTTTAAAATATGCTTACATCTTATTTAAATGCTTTGTATATCATTTTATTTACTTTGTTCATGTTAATCATAATGTTTTTTAACCTGCATCGTTAATCAGAATGTTGTTTTTTACCTGCATTGTTAATCAGAATGTTTATTTTTTTACCTGCATTGTTAATCAGAATGTTTATTTTTTACCCGCATTGTTAATCAGAATGTTTATTTTTTTACCTGCATTGTTAATCAGAATGTTTATTTTTTACCCGCATTGGTAATCAGAATGTTTATTTTTTACCTGCATTGTTAATCAGAATGTTTATTCTTTTACCTGCATTGTTAATCAGAATGATTATTTTTTTACCTGCATTGTTAATCAGAACGTGAAGAAGTGGCTCTCGGTGGTTAAGGTTATCCACAAATTCCTTGACCGAAGCCAATCGTCCGAGATCTAGTTCATATGAATACACGTCAGGATTTCTGGTTTTACTTCGTATCTTGTTGGCCACTGCCTCGCCTTTCAGTTTATCCCTGCAGCCTAGAATGACCCGACCCCCACGTTTTGCCAATTCAGTCGCAGTGGCCCGCCCTATACCTGTATTTGCACCTGAAAATATAAAAAAAACAAGGACATTTTTAATTTAATCTTGTAAACCCCGAATTAAAATGTTTGTAAATGAATAACATAAAGAAAAGCACTAATAGCACGGTGCCTGTACCATGTGTGACCATTTTGTAGTCTGCGTGGGGCAGAAAACCAATACAAAAGTCGGTCCAGGTAACATTTTCTTTCATTTCTTTAATATTTCTTTACACTTACGGGATAACGTGTAGAGTCTGCTCGTACTATACCCCCACCCCTCTAAAAAGGTCATTCTGTTTCACTTAAAGACAAACATATTGATAATAAAATCCATGGGTTACTCAATTAAATTAGCGGGCTTTACCCATGCAGATCACGAAAGTCACGTGGTATAGGCACGTGGAAAGGAAGTACTACATATAATTCTGAGAAATGTTCAAATGATCCTAACGATTATATTTTTCTTTGACAGCAACGTTGAATAATAATTATGTTTACATGTAGTTTGTTGAATAATAATTATGTTTACATGTAGTTCATTTTTCGCAAACCTTTTTTGTAAATAGATTATAACCGGATGTTTATGTTATATACTTGAGTTGCGTAAACACACATAATTATAATTGTGTTAGAGGAATTATTCGGTGAAAGCATGTTTGATAAAGCTAAACAATTCAAAGTAAATCTAAGAGAGGCCATTGTATATTTGCAATCACGAATCGTTCTTGTGAACATTTAGCAATGTTATGTTTTATATAAAATGTTTACGTTAATAAATTCACCATAATAAAAAAGTTTATTCAAGTTTGTTGATGCATCACTTTGATTATATTTATATTTTATAAATGCTTTTAAGTTTGCATGTTGAAATAAAATGCCGTCTGCTAAAATTGTCGTCTGGTCATTTCCCTCAAATATCTCTAAATGAGCCTTGTCATGACAAAACCAACATGGTGCATTTGCGACCAGCATAGATCCAGACCAGCCTGCACATCCGCGCAGTCTGATCAGGATCTATGCTGTTCGCTTACCAGCTCTATAACAAGTAGAGAAACGGATGCGCAGGCTGGTCTGGATCCATGCTGGTCGCAAACCCATTATGTTGGTTTTGTCGTGACGCGGCTCAAATAAAGAGTTACTGAGCTTGGCTGAGGAGCTTGTCGTCTGCCCTGGTACCAGGCTGCAAAAGTTATTGTGAATGCTTTCAGCAGGTAAGCTGGAAATACTTAATTCAAATGGAAATTAGTTCTGCTCTGTCAGATATTTGTTAAAACAACGCAGAAAATAATAAGGAAGCGTTTTTTTTCTTTTCTAATTGTCTTTCACGTATTTCCGCTATCATTTATTCCAGTTTGTTTTTATCAACTTGCATTGTTTATTTGTTCTAAAAATTGCTCTATCTGTGTAATAGAGATATGAAATTACATAAAAATCTGGCAGTTTTGGCATATTTTCAGATCTTGTTTTCTAAACAAACAGATCGCTGTCTCTGTAGGGAAACAAGTATACTGATAAGCATCTGGCGGCTTGCTTCTGTGAAAACTCCATCTGACTATAGCATAATTTCACAATATATCGGTAACCTTGTACATATTTATAAATCTTGCATCATTATTGTTAAAAGCACTTCAAGTATGTAAGTGAATGAAGTTAAAATCATTACTCAAGGGTGTTGTAAGATATTAATAAATTCATTGCCCATTTATAATTCAAAATGTAAAAAAATCCAAATAATGAAGAAAAAAACTCAGTGACATTCAATTTAATTTCAAACAAACAAGGCAGGCTATATGCTTGAATCGGAGTTTTCTTGAAGGCTTTTCGGTAAAATGAAATTCGCTTCAGTTTCAATTCTACAAATTTCCCCCTTTCCCTTTTTAAAATACTTTTAATACGCCACCGTATACTGATAAAACCAAACCAAAAATAATTATAGCTGGCCTAAAGTGTTTTCCTTCAAATTTTTACCCCAAGGCGGTGAAGGGGGATGGGTTTAATTTTTAAAAACCCAGTTTATTAATGAAAATGGCTTAAACGTATCCTTTAAAACATTTTTCTTGGTTGGGGTCAAAATTACCCAAACGAAATTTGTCATATGAACTTTCCCCCTTTACTGTTGGGGGAAAACCTAGATTTCCCTCCCTGCTTATTTCAGGCACCCGAAAAGAAGCACCAAGGTATAATATATTTCATTGACCCACTTATAGAATTCAAATCCCCAGCGAATTGAACCCACAGCGGTGAGGGGAAAATGATTTAGAGTCAAGACCTAGGAGGAAAGGATGGGTGGTGAGGACGGGCGGAGGACGGAGTGATGAAAGGATGTCTGTCTTTTGTCTTCGGTGTAAGAGTATCCTCCTATACAAAAATCTACAAGTTAAAATGGCACGCTTTATTTTTCAAAAGAATTTTTTATTATAAACAAGTCGATCCTAAAAAAAAACTTTTTCATAATTTTATTCGATCTGGGAAGTAAAAGTCTGTAAACATTTTAAATTTATCTTAAAAAAAATAAAAGTTTTATGTATTCTGATAGGTGCCTTAAATATGCGTGTTTTTTTGTACAAAATTCAAAATAGGAATTACGAATATATGAAAAAAGGCGTGAAAATGTTTAATTTAATGTATGATTTCCCCGTACCATGTGTTTCCAAGAATTAAATTAAATAAGAAAAGTTAGATAAAATTAAAAAAATATAAATATCAACATTTCTGAATGGTAAAATAAGCCTTATAACCTAATAGACCATGTTGTTTTTAATATGTTCTTAAAAATGTTATCAGTTTCTATTCATAAAAGGGTCTCCCTGAAGTTTTTGTTTTGTGTTTTTTTTTTGCATGGCGGGACTAGAAATATTTTACACGAGATTTTGCACAGTTTAATGTAGGTTTTGACCAATTGCTTGAGTGCAAATTTTCAGATTATTTCTTCAAATTATTTTCCCAGAATCATCATTTATATAGCGCAAAAAATGACCCCAAAATGAAAAGCGTTGCAATGCTTTTCATTCAAACCGAGCTAAGAATAGCACAGAAAATCGATTTTCCATTTAATGTTGATCTAAGCAAGAATTCAAATTTTATGTTTTAAGGCTTTTTGATCTCAGCCAAGTTCCTTTAAAGGCACATTATGCCTCAGAAATCCATATTTTCTAAATTTCTTTGGAAATATCAAACATGTGTTTAAAAATGTTAAATTAATGGACTAATTAAGAGCATGTTAGATGTTTTACAACAGAAAAAGTATCGCTGAACATGCAGATATGTGTTGTAAAGGTAGCAAAATGTAAACAAAGTAGTATTTCGACTTCCATACAAAATTCAAATTTACTATAATTACACCAATTGCCAACATAACTAAAATGCGAAGGATAGTTCAATTATACAGCAATTCGGTTTATTTTAGGAAAGTGTAACAAGATACCAAAAAGTAGTTTTTGAGAAATAAAAATGATGCATAAAGGGCCTTTTAATATAATGATACAAAAGTGAAAATACTAAAACAAAGACGTGTAGAGGAATATTTATACATCCTATTATTCTTCCCAGGAAATATGTTCTAAAAGTTATGTTATAATATTATATAGAGGCTTTTCTTCTACTTAGCTTTATTTCAATAAATTTGCATGGTGTTTACCTGTTATTGAGTTAGCTACAAGATAAAATAATAATGAATGTTTATCCACAAGTAAGCCATTCATTATTTTCCGACTTTCAGAAAGATTATCTGATTTAGTATTTCCACAAGCATTTGATGAACTTGTTTCCTTCATTTTTTCCTTTTTTAAAAAAAATGAAAATAAAAATTGCTCAAACGTGAACACAGATTGTTTATGTTCTTTTCTGTCAGGATAATGTAAGAGTGTAGGCTCATTGCGGAATTTATTGAACGAGTTGAAAAAATTTATATTATGCAAGCCTCTGGAGATTATAATATTATTTTATTCAACGAGTTCAATAAATTCAGCATTGCACCTACACGAATATAATATTCTTTTTATCACATACCCAAAATGAAGTCTGTTTGAAGTTAAAAGAAATTACGTTTTTCATTGAAGCGCCTATAGTATAAAATTAATAGTGTCTTAACGCTATTTTTGTATAACGCAAATGATGTCACGTCAAAATATGCACGGACGTGCAATACCATTTTACGTAGTCGCTAAAGTTGTGCGGGTATGTGATAAACACGTTTTTTCTCTATAATATTTTTATTCAAACATTTTTCTACTGCCTCAAAAAAAATATGATGCTACATGTATATTAGAATTCATTTATTTAGACCGAGAACAATTTCAAGTGTTCAAAAAAAAGTATTCACTGAGAAGAAGAACGGTAAGGTTGATCAATTGTCCTGTTGCAGAACATTCATTTAATTTCATACTTCACTCGTTCATGTTTTATTCACTTTAAAGTACATAGTATATAGTGCAGAACAATACGCAGAGAATCTGTTGAATTATATGTGTTAGGTAATCTCAAGATTTGCTTTCTAAACACACAGTTTTCTTTAAATAGAAACAATGCATGATAAGCATTAGGCGGTATGTATCTGGGTATTATCAATGTAACAAATGTTAAAACAAAGACCGGTAAATAGTTAATGTTTCTTTTTTCGACCATGGGCTGTCTACTTTCACCTTGACATCCTGTAAAAATCCGCAGGTAAGAACTGAATGAAAGTTTAATTCTGATTGGTTATTTTTTGAAATTTCGAAATCTCATTGGCCATTCTAAAAATGAGCAAAATGATGTAAAGGAATGAGTGAAACGAACTCCTTGGAACTTGTAAAAATCTAAACGAGCTTTCTTGTTCAATTGAAGCAATCGCAACTTCTCGGCCATTTCCGTCGAACTTCGGATCATTCGGAACTGCCTCGGCTATTATCTACAATATTAACCTCGGAAACAATACGGATTGAAAGTAGTTCTACCACGTGGTTTACTGATGTAAATAGAAACAGAGATAATGTAAAACGAATGTATATATTTGACATCTAAATGTCTGTTCCGGTATCTTATGCTTGAAAAATATGC